ATATGATTATTATTTTTTTATTTATTTTTTAATGAAATATTTTTAAAGATTCTTATTTTATAACAATTAGATTAATTTTATATACAGAGAAATAATTAAATTGAATTAAATTAAATATACAGAAAATATAATAAATATTTTATTACCAAATATTTATATTTTCAATATAATTAAACATAAAATAATATTTATAATCATTTTAAAAAAAATGATATAATAGATATGAAAAAACATTTATTAAATCTATTTAATATATTAGAAAATAAAAATATATATAAAAAAAAAAATCCCTTTATTATTAAATAGTTTTCTGTAAATTTCATTATAAAAGTATTATTAATAATAAAAAAAAATATTATAATATTTATTAAATAAAATAAATGTATTTTATTTAACTTTGATTAAAAAAGATAAAAAATTTATTTTTTAAAAAATATATTATAAAATATTTATGTAATAAAAAAAATGTATAAATATATATATGTATATGTATATTTATATTTATATTTATATAATATTTAACATATTATATATATCATTTTTCATTTATATAAAATCTTTTATATTTTAATAATAATAATATAAAATTTGTTAAATAATTTTTTTTATAAAATTATTTTTTAAAAAATAAAAAAATAAAAATAAGCAAAATATTTAAAAAGTATATATAAATATAAAGTAAAAAATATAAATTATAATTTCTATTATATATAAAAGATATAATATTATAAAATTTTTCTAATTAATTATTTATTAATTAATATACTATAAAAGAATTTAATTTAAAATTAGACATTATGATATATTATAAAATTCAAAAACAATAGAAATATTTTAAAATAAAATAAACATAATAAAATATATATATAAAAAAAATAGTTATTTATTTATAATAAAGAAAAAGAAGTAATGTCATTAATAAAATTAATAATATTCACAATTTTATAATTATTAACAACCTAAAATATAATAAATTTAAATGAAAAACAATAATATTAACGAAAAGTCACCTCTTTATAATTAGAAAACTTCCAATAATTTTTCTATTTCGATAATAAAAATGAGCATAACTCTTTTCTTTATTTTCAAATCAATATAAATTACTAATCTAATGAACAGTACTTACAAAGAAATTATTATTTGTTAAGCCTTTACACAAACTCTAACTATAACTTTAAAACAAATAAAAAGTTTATTTCATAGTATGACGTGTAAGAAATTATAAATTTGTCATAATATAAGGATATAACAATTGATAAAAATGGGTTTGTTAATAAAAAAAAAAGTATGTATCTTTAAATAGACTTAAGCTAATTTAAATAAAAAAATATATATATCAGCTTCGAATAAATAAATAACTAAAAAGAAACAACAGAAAATTTTGAATATAAATATGAAATATCAAAAATTAAATAATGTTTAAATAATTGCAATTAAGAAATTTATTAAACTAAATGTATATATAAAACTGGATTATGTAATTGTAATTAGTATTTAGATTCTGATTGTTAAGAAAAAGGAATTAAAATAAATAATAGTTATAATATATATATATATATCTTAATATATAAATATTTTAATAATTTTTCAAAATAAAAGATAAAATTAGAAATTAATTAATAAATAAAACTATAAAATCTTAAGAAATAGAATATTTTTTTTTATATTATAAATAAATAGATGAAATTTAATAAGGGTATATAGTTTTTGAAACAAATTAACAATTTGAATTTTTCATTTAAAAAGAAGGCGAAAATGAATTAAGTTTACCTTCAATTATTTCCTAAAAAGAATATATTAATGAAAAATAAAATTCAGGGTAGTATGTTTATAAATATTAAATCTTAAAAGAAAATTTTGAAGTTGATTAATAACGATATATATAAAAAATAATTTTCGCATTCTTGAATTAAAAATAAACTGATATTGATTTAAAAATTATATATAATATAAAAAAAAATTATATACAAAGAAAGAAGAAGAAGAAGAAAAAGTAGATCATATAAATATAGTTATAATTATATCAATAGTTAGCGTACTTTTAATATCATCAATTATTACATATTTTATAATGAAAAAAAAGTACTAATAAAGGTAAAGTAATAATTAAATATATATTTATATAAATATATATTTATTTATATATATATAATTTTACATAGATATATAAACTATGCCTTAATCAATTATACAGAATTAATTTAAAAATGAAACAAGAATATTAACTCTATAATTAATAAATTATTATATGCCTTTAAATACTTATTAATAGAATTTATAATAAATATCAAAAAGTGAATAATGTTCTATTTGTTTAGAAAAATTTTTTTTTAAGTAGAATAATCTTAGAATGACTATATGCTTACATTTGTTTCACGACTAATGTTTAATTTAATGGCTCTAAAAATCAGAATCTTGCCCTTTTTGTAGATGTGAATTTACATTGGAAAAATTAAAAGAATTTTAAAATAAATAATTTTAAATTATAAATGAATAAATTATTAAATCAGATTGTTCGATTATTTAGTAAGTTGATAATAATAATATTAAAAAATATGATATTTTAAAATTTGATGATAAAAATTAGTATGATTCTAATTTTAATATTTAATCACAAAATTTAATCTCTTCATAAAAATTTGATTTCAAGTCTAATTAACAAGTTCTTATTTAGGATAAATAAATTCAAAAAATTGAAGAAGAAATTATTATAGAAGAAAATGATAATAAATAAGAATTTGATAGTAAGTAAGAAAATTATCAAAACGAATAAAAAGATTATAATGAAGATATCGATTATAACTAAGAAATTTAAAATAAATAAATAAGTGATTGTTAATGAAATTTGTATTTATTAATTTAATATAGAAATTTTCTAATAAGTTAATTTTTTATTTTAACAAAAATATATACATATATATTTATTTTTATTATAATTTTAATAATATCTATCTTTGTTATTATTTTTCGTAATTATTTAAAATAAAAAAATTATGTCTATTTTATATATTTAATAATATCTAAAAATACAAATAATTTTAAATTATATTAAGACTTAAATATAAAAATACATTTTTGATTTTTTTTTTTTTCTTTCTTTTAAAAAAAAAGTATTTATAAAAAAATTAAAGATAATGTTTATTTTTTGTATGTAGAAAATATATATATGATATTAAAATCAAATAAAACAAAAAAATATATAAATATTAAAATATGATTATAATAATAAAATATTAATTTTTTATAATTATAAAATATTATTGGATAAATAATTATTGAATTAATTAAAAATTGCAAAATTATATAAATTATATATTTATTATTTATATATATAAAAATAAATATAGAATAATTAAAAAAATAAAAATAAAAATATTATAATATAAAAATACAAATACAAATATAAATTTTAATCTTTTTAAAAATAGTTTATATATTTTTTTATTTTTTTCAAGAGTAATAAACTAAAAAAAAGCTATTTTTACATTGTTTTTTGGTTGAATAAACACAATAAAAAAAACCACTATAAAAACAAAACAAATATTATAAAATATAATTAATATAAAGGATAATATATAATTAAATAATAATTTAAATTTAAGTAAATTTAGTTATTCGAATCAATATATATGTAAAAAAAATTTTTTAATAAACAGAAAACTTTGAAATATAATAATAAAAATATGATTAAAATATTATATTTAATATACTTATGTTATTTATAAAAAATTAAATAATGAGATTATAAAATTAGATAAAAAAAGTTAAAGAGAAAAAAGTATTAAATAATAATAAATAAATAATTAAATTAGTAAAAAAATAAAAGAAATTAAAAATAAAATAAAAAGTAAATACAAATAAATATATATTTATATATTAAAATATATATTTATATACAATTATTTATATATTTTTATATTTATATTTATTTATATATTAATATTATATATATATTTATTTTTTTATATCTTAATTATGATTTTTAAAAATATATAATATATATTTTAACAATAGTTAAAAAAATATATAATATTTATTTTATTATTATTAAAGTCAAATAAATAAAATATATTTGAATAAACAAAAAATATATAATAATTATATAAATGCAGTACTAAAAATATTAGTACTAATATTTTTAATTGGATATTTAAAAAACTATTTTACAAGATAAATAGCAAAAACTGACACATATATAATCGGAATTATATTTTTATTATTAATAATAAGATTCAAAAATATATGTAAATGTATAATATAATGTAAAATAGAATATTCTGAGATAAATACATTTGTTTATGATTAATACAGAAATAAAATTAAAAAATATACTAATATTAAAGTATAAATACTTTTAAAATAAATATATAGATTATATTCTGAAAAGTATTTTATATTACTTTTATATAGGATTAAAAAATATATATATATAAAATTAATTTTAATTGTAATTTTAATTAAAAATTTTATTAATAATATTTAATTAATAATTTATATTTCTTAAAAGAAAATATATAAATAAATAAATATATAAATAATAATAATAATAACTAAATAAAATATTTTATAAAAATATATATATATATATTTTAATTATATATATTATTAATTTGTAACATTAATAAAATGAAATTTAATATAACTATATAAATAAAATTTAATTTTTTACATATATATTTCATATGTATGATATATTTATTTATAATAATCATTATTTTTTTTTAAAATTAGATAAAAATTTAAATAAATATATATAATTTAATTTTTATTTATTTAGTTAATAAATATATAATAAATATTGTATTATTATATTTTTTTTTTTATTAATAATAACAAAATTCTTAGAATAATTTTTAAATTATTATAAATCTTTTTATTATTTTAATATTAAAAAAATAAAATAAAAATATTTATTTAGACAAATATTTATTTTTTTAGTTTATTTTTAAATATTATTATATATAAATTTATTATAAATAAAAAAAAAGAATATAAAAATAATGAGTTTATTTATAGGAAATATAAGCAGAAATGTTGATTAAAAAACAATTGAAAATGTTTTTAATTCCTATGGTCCTTGTAAAATAGAATTTAGAGTTATTTTAATTTAAAAAATAAGCAATATTTATAAATAAATATAATATCAAATATTAGCATAGATATGCATTTGTTTAATATGCAAAAGATAAAGATGGTGAAGCAGCAAAAAACGATTTAAATAATAAAGAATTTGGGGGTTTAATGTTTAAAATTTATAAACAATGAAAAATCTAAATTATTTTAATAAATTAAATTAAAAAAGGTTTAAAATTAAATGTCGAATGGTCAAAAAAATCTGGAAGATTCGATGAAAATCATTCAGTTAATAAATCGTAAAAAATAATAATTATTAATTTAAAAAAATAAAACAAAATATATAGAAAAAGAAGCAATTCAAGAAATAGGTTCATTTTATAAAAATAATAAAATATAAATAATCATAATTTTAAAAAAATATATATATAGAAGAAGATCAAATTCATGGAAACAAAGAAGAGATTCCCCAATGTATAGAAGATCAGCATCTCTTTCAATACATTCAGATGATTGTCCACGTGACAAAATGTAAATATTATATATATTAATATTATATTGATAAATATATATATATATATATATATAAATATATATATATATATATATATATATATATATATATATCTATATATATATATTTATCTATTTATATATATTTTTTTATAATCTTATATATGTTTTTTTTATTTAATTTTTAGTCTCAAGTTAAAATTAAAAGAATAAAAATAAAACAAACAATCTAAAAAAGATAAAGATAGCAAAAAACATTCAAAAAAAGATAACCATAGAAATGATGATAATTATATTTGAAAGAAATATAATATATACTTTTAATTTTATAATTTTTTTTTTATAAAAAAGTTAATTAAAATGCTATTTTTTTATAAAAATTAAATATATTTTATTTTCAATAAAGATTATATTTTATATTTATATAAAATATATTTATAGTTGGTTTTCGAGAAATTATAAAACATATTATTAATTTTAAAAGTCTAATATATTTATATATATTTAATATTTTATTTAAAATATTTTAAATAATTATATTTATTTATATCAAAACTCTATTGTTTTATAATTCTCGTACTAAGAAAATTCAAAAGCCCATGGATTTCTTAATTTAATAAAAAGTAATAAATATAAAAATTATAATAAATTACATATTAAGAAATTCTTGTATACCCTGTTTAACTGATAAATTTGTATATACTTTTTGACTAATTTATTTTCTAGTAATAGGATCGATATAACCATTTTTTTTAAAATGTTCATCTAAAACAACTTTTTCATAAGTTTATCCACATTCGGTTATTACCGGATCCTCCATTAAATCTAAACTAATCTTACAAACTAAATAATCAGGAATAGATAATTCTTATTATTAATAAGGATCACCAATAAATTATATAAACTAAATATAACTAATATAATTATATTATTTTAAAAAATTATACTTTATTTATTTCGTCTTAAGTATTTTCTTAAGAAAGATTTTAACTTTCAATTTATTTTTTATATGATTCTAATAATTCCATTTTCTTTTATTTTAAGTCCTCATATTACTTATACCATAAAAGTTTTTTAGCTCTATAAATATATATACTTATATCTTTTTCATATTATTATTTTTTATTTCCAGAGCATAAAGTAAAAGCTTATTAATTAATTTAATATATATGTAAAAATGTATATAGTATATATATATATATATGTAATATTAATATAAATGTTATTTATAATTATTATAATTTTAATAATTTTTTTTTATATTTTTCTAAATATTTCACTTATATAAATTTATTTTTTTTATTAAATATTACCTCTTGTTAATCTTTTTATCCCATTTAAAATTTTTTAGTTACTTTTTTCGTTTTTTCCTATTTCACATAAAGTTTAACCGCATAAAAGTTATGCTTTTATATTATTTTCATCTAGTTCAATAGCATGAACTGCATCATCAAATGCCTTTTTAATATAAAAAAATATTTAATCTATAAACTTATATAAATTATTACTTTAAATTATATTTTTTAATTTATTATCTTAAAAAAAAAAACTAAATCAAACATAAAAAAGGAAATATAATAAAAAATTCTTTTTTTTTGATTGAGTTTTAATAAAAAAAAAAAAAAAAATTAAAATATTAAATATATATAAAAAAAATTTAATAAATATATATATTTATATATATATATACTTATTTAATTTTATCCAATTTTTTATAACATTTTCCCCTATTTGAATAATATATTGATTAAGAACTATCGATTTCTATAGCTTATGTGTAATATTCGATAGCAGTTTCTAAATTATTATTATTAAAAGCATCATTTGCTTTTTATTTCCAATAATTTCCTGTATTTTAAAGAGGATCACTTTTTTTTTTCCTTTTTTTAGGCTCCTAAAATTCTTTTTTTTTTGAGTTTTAGCGAGTATTTTAATAAACAGGAAGAATATTTGGTTAATCTTACATAATTTCAGTAAAAATGTTTTAAATAGAAGAAGAGCTTAAATTAGGAACTTAAAATATAAAATTTTCGAAAATTTATGCAAAATTTTAATTATTGTTATTCGTATTTTAAGAATTATCTAATTAAGACATTTTTTTAAAATTAATTGTAAAGTTTTATATATTATTTATAATTTAAAAATTTATTATTTTTAATAATAATTATGAATTTATATTATTTTATAATATTATATAAATTAATATACATATATATATTTAATTATATTTTATATATATATATACTTTATTGACAAATAAATATTATAATATTATTTTTATAATAAAAAGTATATATGTTTATTTAGTTTATGATAAAACAATATATAATAAAAATTAAATTAAATAATTATATTAAAAATAAGTATTATAAAAAAAATATTGATTAAATTAATATAAAAAATATATATATAAATTATATTAAAATAAAAATACATATATATAATATATTTTATATTTATATATAAATATATTACTATTTTTTATTTTTTATATAAATTTAATATTTTTCCTTTTAAAATAATACATTTTATACATATAAAAGTTTATATTATTTATTTATATTTTATATTCAAAAATCTTCTATTTCTTAAATTTTATCTAATTATTTCTTAAAATGAATTCCATCTTATTATTATTTTAAAAGTTCTTACCCCTTTTATTTTTATATAATCATTTTATTTTTTTCTCTATTTTTCATTTTTCCATCTATCCTATTTAAAACTACCTATTCTAATACACATTTGTTTTTTCTTAAAGTTTATTCGGAATATCCATATTTTTCTTTAAAATGTTATTTTTCTTCTATTAATTCGTCTGCAAAATCTAGTATATTCGGTGGAAAAAGTGCATTCTTTTCATGTTTTGGCATCTAAATTATATCCGAAGACCCATTTTTTTTATTTTCATTAATATATTCGCATATAAACTCTGATAACTGGTTTATATTTTTGTTATTTTTTACAATTTTAAATTTTGTCTTATGTCTTTTTTATTTTTTATTAGGGACCCCTTTTGCTATTCCCTATACATTTTAAATATATTTTTGTGTTTTTATCTCACTATGTAAATCTTAAAATTAAATCTTTCGGCGTGCTATATCTTATATATAATTATGTCTTTCTAAATTTATAAAAGGAATTTAAGAAGATTTTTTTAATAAATCTTCTTTTATAGGACGCATTAATTTTTATGATTATATTTTTTATTTTTGACTTTTTATAATTGTAGATGCTTTATTTGGACTTATTTATATTTATATGGGTTAAGTGTCTTTTAATGTAAATAATACTTCTCCTTTATTTACTGGAACGAATAATTATAGTTTAGTTTTAGATTATTTTATCATTTATTTTTATTAAAAACGTTATTTTTTTATATTTTATTTAATTTTTTTTTATTTTAAAGTTTAATATTTTTACTTAATTTTTTTTAATTAATAAAAAATATTTTTAAAGAAAAAAAATAAATTTATATATATATATATATATATATATTTATATATATATATATATATTTATATATATATATATATATATATTTAAATTCATTTTAATAAAAACAAAAATATCCAATTTTTTATGAACCTTTAATACTTTATTATTATTTTTATACTATGCCTTTTCATAAAAATAATAAATACATAATATCCTTAATACGAATAATAAAGTCAAATTTAAAATTAATAATTTGATGATTAAAATGATTAATATACTACAATAGTCTATATATCGTTTATAGTTATAGTAGTTTTAAGTTTCATATACTTTTGTTTATGTAAATAGATTTTATTTTAATTTTTAAAATGGATTTGTTGTTGTAAAAAAAAAAGAGCGTAAATATAATAACTTTAAATGGATAATATATAACCTTAAAATCAATTTACAAGCGAAAATCAACTTATTAGAAACATAAGAAGAAATTAAACTAATAGTTAAACATATTAATTTTAAATTCCTATATAGGAAGTATAATTAAATTAAGAATAAAATATTTAAAATTAAGCATAAATTAATATACCTAATAATAATGTTTATATGGGAATAAATCTTGAATAAGAAAATAAAAATAAAGATTTTAAAAATAATAAAAATATAGTTTTAAAAATAAAAAAAGAAACTTAAAATTATATTTAAGGCGAAGTTATTAATTGAATTACTTTTTTATTATTATTTATATTTCTTTTTAATTATTTAATAAATAGATTTATAATATATATTTATATATATATAAATAAGTATAAATATATATATATATATATTTATATATATATATATATATTAATTATTTTATTTTATTTATACATTTAAAATTTATAAATATTTATATTCTTATTTTACTTTTTTATTTTATAAATAAAATTTTCATAATTGTTTAATTTATTTTAATTTTAATATTAGTTAATATTTTTTTTATTTATAAAAAAAAAATTATTTTAATTTTTAAAAGCTAGTTAAATGTTTTTTTCATGTTTTTTTATTTTATAAAATTAATATAATAGTTTTAATAACTAAAAAAAAGAAGTTAATATATTCATTTTGAATTCTAAAAATAATTTTAATAATATCTACTTTAATAAAAGTGATTAATATTATTAATTTTAGATATATTTAATTTCTTTTTAGTATTTAAGCATATATTTTCTTTATTATTATCTTATAAAATCAATTTATTTTTTTATTTATTTAAATATTTGTTTTTAATAATAGTTAATTAATCTTTGTAATTTTATGTAGATTTATATTATTATTATTATTATTATTATTATTATTATTATTATTATTATTATTATTTTTATTATAAATTATTTATTTCTTAGTTTTTTTTTTATTGACTATAATTAAATGTGCTTATTGTATTATTTCTTTTTTAATTCCAATCAAACTTAAAATCTATTTTAAAGCCTTTATTTTTAATAACTTCCTCTAAAAGTCCATATAAATAATTATACTCAGGTTTTTAATCAAATTTTAAATTTCTACAATATATAAGAAAAGTTTTAAATTCTTTCGGTAATCCCTAACATAATATATTAATAGGAGTATTGACCTTTTTTAAAAAAATAGCCTCATATTTATCAACCATATTAAATCTTTTTAAATTCATCCAAGGTAAACTTCCACCATTTAATAAATAAACAAAAACATAACCCAGGCTTTCTAAATCATCTCTTCGGCTTTATTCTATGCCTATATGTGTATTTATAGAAGTATATCTAGCAGTCCCTATTAATTATTTATTTTATTTAAAAGATATATGTTTTCCAAACTTATCTATATATTTTTTTCCTAACCCAAAATCAATTAGAAAACAAATATTTTTCCTATTTTCTCTTCCCATTACAAAATTGTCAGGTTTTATATCTCTATGTATTATATTTTTACTATGTATATATTCTATTCTACTTAACATTTATAAGCCTAACATCAAAACTGTTTTTAAAGAAAATTTATTTTATTATTTCTATAATAAATCTTCAATAGAATAACCTAATAAATCCATTATTATATAATTATAACCTAAATCTTAACCCAGTTAGTGTATTTAGGGAATATATTTCGGTATTTATGTAACTGAGTTTGCATTATTATTATTCAAATATGAGTATATTCGACTTTCGTAAGGTATTTATGGAAATTCTTAGATTTATTATTCGAGTTTTATTGCATATTCTTTCTAGTCTTCAGTGTTTAAAATTAAATATATTTCACCAAAAGCCCCGTTTCCTATTTTTTGGATTATTTAGAATTTTTGTGCTATTTTTTAGTTTATTAATTATTTTGACATTTTTGTTAAAAGTAGATATAATTTTTTTTTTTTTTTATAAAATTAAATTAAGCAAAAAAAAAAAAAATATATATATAAATTAATTTTTTTTTTTTTTTTTTTTTCATAAAAATATTTATAAATTAATTTTTTTTTATTCTAAAAAATAAAATAAAAAAAAATATATATATAATAAATATATATAAATATATTTAAAATAATATATATATATAATTATATTATAAATTTTTCCAAACAAAAAAATAACAAAAAAACAAAAAATTATTTTTTTTCAATCTAAAATAAATTAATGTTACATCAACTTTTAAATACTCGGTCTTTCTTTTTTATTATAAACACAGCATTTCCTAATAAAATTCTAACAAACTTCACTTAAATGTCCCGGAATTTCAACATCTTTTTCCTATCCAATATAATAAGCTAATTATTATATACTCTTAACACCATCCCAAGGGTGTTTCCCACTTGCCATTTCAATAATAGTACACCCTAGGCTCCAAATATCACTTTTTCTCCCATGAGTTTCTTATTTAATCACCTCTGGAGCCATCCAAAAAAGACTTCCTTTCGCACTTTCGCAAAATTCAGACTCCTATAGTCTATTAACCTTCAGGTTTTGCTTAATTCTAGCCGCCCCGAAATCCGCTAATTTGACTATTCCATTCCCATTCGATAATATATTGGCCCCTTTAATATCTCTATGTACAACACCTAGGGAATGAAGATAAGAAAGCCCTTAGACTATTTATTTGACAAATATTTTTATGACTTCTTCATCAAAAGATCCGTATTATTTCAACATAGATGAAATACTACCGCCGCTCATTTATTCCATGTATATATAAAGGAATTCTTAGTCTTGTTTATAGCCGTAGTATTTTACAATATTTGGGTGATTTAAGTTTTTTAGCATATTTATTTCCTTGAAATATAAATCGACTTTTTCTTAGATTTAATTATCCTCTTTGTATGGAATTTTCACCTTTTTTATAGCTATAAACTTACCGTTTTTTAAAAGTCCTTTGTAAACTTTCCCATATGCACCTTAGCCGAGTAATTCGCCTAGTTTTATATCCAATAAATGCTCTTCAGTTAATATGTATTGTAGTGTATTGGCTAAACTAGGCTATAGAGTCTTACTTTTATCATCCTGTTGGTCTTATTAAGCTTTCTTAGGTATATTTATGAATGATTAGGTGCTTTTTCTTTTTTATTAGGATGAGTTGGATGTCGAATTCAAAAAATAAGAGCGGATACGGAAAGTTTATTTATTTAAAGTATCTGTTGTAGTCGCTGTTGTGGGTAAAAGTGTGTTTAGAGGCGTGTTTGCTTTTTTTTATTAATTTTTTTAGATTATTAGATTCTCAGTTAAAGGATTTTCGCGGTTTTCAAATTATATATGGGTTTTTGATATACGGAATTATATTTAATTGTTTATTTAAAGAAAATCATCGATTTCTTTTGAATTATTTTATGATTGTTTTTGTAAATTTTTTGATGTTAAAGAATTATTTTGTTCTAATATAATTAAATTTTTAGATTGCTTTTTTTTTAAAAGTCCTATATATTATTATTATTATTATTATTATTACTATTATTATTATTATTATTATTATGATTATTATTTTTATTTATTCTAATATATTTTTTATAAAGGACTTAATTTTTATAATTCTTTTTTTTTATTTTTTTTATTATCTGTATTTTTACAAAACTACAAAAACTATTACTGCTACCATTATTTTTTTAATTTCTTATATTTTTTTATATATTTTATTATTATTATTGTATTTATATTTATTATTATTATTATTATATTTATATCTATTATTAAATTTATTACTATTATTATATTTATTATAATTACTGTATATTTAATTAAAGTATTTATTAGTTAATTTACTATTATTAATTTTTTTATGTTTTAAATATTCTTTTTTATTATTATGGTAATGGAGGATATTATTCTCTTTATTTAATAGGTGTTTAAACTTGTTATTATAAAGAAACTTTTCTTTTTTATTTATAGAAAAACTATGTTGACTATTACTTTTATTTAAACTATTTAGAATATTACTATTATTAGTATTACTTGATGAATTATTATTTTAATTTTTATTCATTTAATGACTAATTGAAATTAATTTATCTTTTTTATATTTAAAAATAAATATAAATAAATTCTATCTCTATTTTTTTTTTTGTTTTTCATACTTTATGGTTTTGGTTGTATTATTTAAGGCAAAATTAAATTCATATATGATTATTCATATTATATTTCTGCATTTTAATTAAAAGAATTATAGTTATGATTATTTTAAAAAAAAGAAATGTTTTAATGAGTGTTTATACTTGTATTATTATTATTATTTTAACAAGTAATATTTTATTTATAGTTTAATTAATTCTCTTTTTAATATTTATAAGGATTTTTGCCATTTATTCCTTATAATAGAATCTTTTAATCAAATTAATTATTTTTCGATATGTCTGATAAATAATGTTATTTTTTAAAACTCGGTCTTTTCATATATTTATAAATATATTTTTTTTATTATATATATAATTTCTTTCTTATTTTTTATTTAAATTATATAATTATTATTATTATTATTTTAATATAAAATTTATTCTGTTAATATAGATAATATCCATCGTAATCTATATCTACATATATATATATATTATAAATATAAATATATAATATATAATATATTAGTTTTTTTTTAAATATAAATTTAAATATATAATTTTTATTATAATTTAAATATTTTTTATTTAATAATATAAATATTTTGGAAATATATATATATTTTTTTTAATATATTTATAATATAGTTGATTACTTATTATTTCTTAAAAATTTTCTATTAATATTTTATACATATTTATTAAATTTAAAGTATATTATTTTATATAAATAAAATGGATATATATATTATTTTTTTTATAATTTTTTTAAATTTAAAAAACAAAAATTTTGTTTTTTAATTTAAAAAAAAATAAAAAATAAATTTTTATTTTTAAAAATAAAAAGATTTTTATATATTAAATAATAAGTATAAATAATATGTATAATTAATAAACAAAAACAATTTTTATATAAAAAATAAATATTTATTGCAAAAATATATTATTACTAATACAAACAATTTTTTTATAAATTAAACAATAATAATTTCAGGAAAATAAAAATATTTCTTTAAAATAAATATAAGTATAATTAATAAATAACTAAAATATAAAAATAAATATGTAAAAAAATTATAAAACATCAAATTTCATTATTGAATTTTAAAGATTTAATTATTATTTTAAATATATCATTTTATATTATAAATATTTAATAAAAAAATAAATAAAATATATTGAAAATAAAATAAAAATGGATTATAGAAATATTATACATAAAATAGATACAAAAATAGGAGTTATTTAATACGCAATACCTCCAATGACAGTTTAATTAAATTTAAAGCATAATAATGGTTAAATACCTACTTATTACATTATTCCTTAAAAATAATTAGATAAGAAAAGTGGAATATTAGTTAGTTTTTTTTAAAAAAAAATATATAAAATACTTAGAAAAAAAATATAAAATTATATAGCTAGTAGATATTGAATAACCAATAAGATATAATTATTTAAAATAATAAAAAATAACTACAATAATATGCGAATAAAGACAGATAGATGATATAAAATCATATTTATAAGAAAGTTTCTTCGGTCCAAATTAATTAAAAAAAGATGTAAAATATAAATATATATATAAATATATATATATATATATATATATATATATATATATATATATATATTTATATAATTATTTAGGAATTAAAATTAGAATTTCATTCATCTTTTAGTGAAGATAGTATTCCTGATTTTTCTAAGGAAAGCTAATTTATATATAAATCTATTTTAAATTCAAAAGAAAATTAAAATGTTGATCATTTAGTTAAGTTTATGGTTTATGATAATGAAGGGTATTTAAACCTTAATTAAGGACTTGAAATTGAAAATAATGGAAAAAGATTGATAATAAAAGATGAAGAAAGAATTTTATAAACAATTGAAATTGAATAAACTGAAAATTTGATTATACAAGATCTTTTAAAAATGGGTATTTTCGAAGAAATAAAACCAGCTTTCGGTTCTAAAATTCCTTATTTTAATTATACAGCATTATAATCTCCTTTTGAACCCAATAAATCAGTAAACTAATTTATTTATTATCATAAATAAATTAAATAATAAAAAATATAAGTAAGGATTTATTTTATGGATAAACGGAAGAGTTGGTTTAATAGATCCTCCTATATTTACAACAAATTATTTAGATAATGCCTAAATACCTTAAAATTTAATAGATTGGGTAATTCTTACTAACTGTCATTCTGAATGTGATATGGGAGTACTTTAAAGATTTGTAGAATCATCAAGAATGGAAGTAAATAATAATATAAAATATGATATAATATATAAATATATGTAAATATATAAATATATATATATATATATATATATATATATATATATATATATAGACAACTATTAATTCATAGATAATTACAACTTCGACAATTATTAATTCATTTATAAATAAATATTCTAAAATGGTATAAATTAATAGTTAATTATTAAGAAGATTATTTAAATTTAAACCAGTAGTAATAGGAGCTCCTATTAATTTAAATGGATGTATAATAAGATTTCATTATAACTTTCATGTTATTCCATGTATTGGTTTTGAAATAAATAATTAAAATAATTCTATTTATTTTTCAGGATATTGTTTTTATGATCCTAAAATATTATCTTAAATTAATTAAAAATAAATTATTACGTAAAAAAGATTAGAACTTCTTGCTAATACCAAATTTATACATAATATAATTCTTTTTGATGGCTGTAATCCTTTTTTAAGTACTCCTTTAAATATAATAGCAAGTTTACCGCCCTAAATAGTCTAAAATATTTACCTTATATATAATAATGATAATTAATAAAATAATTATTCTTAATAATTAAAAAAAGTTTAAGTAAATTTAAATAAATATTCTATTTTAATATTTTATATATTTAAATAAAAAAAAAAGATAGGAATCTAATATACGAATTATCAAGAAAATGATTTAATTGTAAAAAAAATAAAATCAGTCGATTATATGACAAAACTTGATATTCTTTCATAAGTAGATGTATTTGAAGGAATTTCGTTAAAAAATTTAAGAGATTTAATAGATATTTCTAATGAAGAATTTTTTATTAAAGATTAATATGTAATATACAAATAAAAAAATAATAAAAAATAATATATAGATATTTAAAGATATATATATATATATATATATATATATATATATATACATATATATATATATATATATTTATATATATATATGTAAATATATAGGTTATAAAATAAGCTACATAAGGGATTAAATGGTATATAATTTTGAAAGGATCTGTAAAAGTTTTCAGTGAAAAAAAGATGTTTGAAGATCGTATTTTTTCTGTTGGTGAATATTTTGGAGAATCAGCACTTTCTTTAGAAAATAAATCTGGTTTTTCATAAAGAAGAATGGCTAGGTTAAATATATATGAAATTAAAAATTTATATATAAATAATATAATATATAAATATATTTATTTAAACATATATATATATATTTATATATATTTATATATATTTATTTATATTTTTAGTGTATAAGCACTTACTGATTTACATTTACTTACTCTTGAAAAATAGGACTTTTGGTTCGCTTTTGGAGAAGGAAAAGAAAGTAATGGATTAAAAATATTATAAAAATAATAAAGACTTTTATATTCAAGAATAAATAAATCAATATAAATAATTGAACAGTAAAAAATAAAATAATATATATTTTTTGTTTAATTATTATATTTTTTTTTTATTAGTAATTCGTATTTAAAAGATTTAAATGAAAATTAAAAAACTTAATTGGAAATGATTCTTATATAATAAGAGGCAAAAGAAGGATCATTTATATGGAGAGAAGGAGAAATTTCTAAATTTGGTATAATTGTTAAATATGGAGAATTTAAATTTATAGACTGTATAGAAGCAGATTAAAATATATAAATTAAAAAAGGATGGTTTATAGGAGAAATTTAGGCTATGGTTAATGAAACTGAACATACTACATCTTTATAGGCTACAGGATATGAATGTGAATATTTTAGAATTGATAGAAATGATTTAATTGGATTTTTAAGAAGAAATCCGGGATTATTTTTAACTTTTGGTGATTAAAAATATTTTAATTGAAAAAATAAAATTTATGTTTATTATTTTATATATATTATTTTAATAATATTTATTAATAAAAAAAAAAATGGTAACAAATTTAAATATTAAATTTAAAAATAAAAGTTATTAATTTTATAAAAAAAAAATATAGTCGAGAAAAAATAATAAACAAAATAAACTAAAAAGAATAAAAATATTAAAGGATAAAGAATAAGAAGAAGAAAGAAAAAAAATACAAAAATAAAAAAATAGATAACAATAATAAAATTAATTATAAGCAGAATAACTTGTAGAATAAAATATATATATATATATATATATATATATATATATATATATATATATTTATAAATTTATATTCTTATAGTTTGAATAATTTGGTATATAAGAAAAAGATTAAGAAATGAATGATAATGATTGGTAAGATGAAAATTCAGATGATAATCATATGATAGATGAAAATACATATAAAAAATCAAAGAAAATTAAAAAAACAAAATAAGATTATAAACGAGAAAAAAAATAAGCAAGAAAAAATAAAAAAAAGCCTATAATTGTAAGAAAAAATCATATCTGAAAAATAAAATAAAAATATAATAAATATATATATATATTAAATAATTTCATCTTTTTTTTTTTTTTTTTAATTAATTGAATAAAATTATATAAAAATAATTAATATCAAAAATTATAAAATTTCTTTTTTTTTTATTTCTCTTCATCAAATGGTAAGCCTTTTAGTTATTTTTTAAAATAATCAATTTTCTCATGTCTTTTTGCTTTCCCGGCCCATTCGAAAATATCCAATATTCTATATTTAATATTCTCCTTTTATAAAATTCTTATCATAATTTAAATAAAACCTCTTTATTTTTTAGTATCTGATACAAAATTCCATTTTTCCAATACAATAAATACTGTATTGGTTTATTTATTTGAAAAATTAAATCGAAAAATTGAATATTTAACATTTCTTTCATGGAAATAACCCATTCTATTTAAAAAATAATCAAAAGCTTAATTTAATTTTGTATCTTTAAATAATAATTTTTCTTCTTCTTTATTGAATGTTTCCTATATATTTTATTATATTTAAATATTCAAAGGAAAACTAATATGTCCTTATTCTATTTATAAACAATATTTACAAATATATAATAATTATTTCATATCATTATTTAAATTCATGATTTCCTATTCATTTTCAATTATTACTTTTATAATTTTCTCGAAATAACTTTCATGAATAAATAATCTATAGACTCCATAAAAAAGAAATCTTATTAAATATATAAAAAGACATATAAAGATATATAAATATATATAAAGATAAAAAAAAAATATATAATGATATTTAAAAATATATAAAGATATAAAAAGATATAAAAATATATATAAAGATATATAAAGATATATAAAGATATATAAATATATATAAAGATATGTAAAGATATGTAAAGATAAATTAATATAGAAATAAATAAAAATAAATATATATATATATATAATATATATATATATATATATATAAATATAATTTACCTTATACTTTCTTCTAAACTAATATTTTATTTATAATCTAAAATAAAATTTAGTATTTAGTCATCTACTTTTTATTCTACCTATGATCCTATAGAACTTAAGAAATAAACGCTTAAGCTTTTTTAATTAAATGACATTTTATTGAAATTCTATAAAGTTAATTATTCTATCGAATCATATAGTTCTTTACTTCCAATGTTTAATTAGTTAATTTTATAAAATATATTATAAATTATTTTCAAATCATCCTCATTTAAATTTTTTTTTATTATAATTTCCTTTTTTTAACTTTACCATTTCTTGTCTTTTTTTCCATAAAAAATTTTAAAAATCTTATTTATTTTCCTTTATTTCTCCATAGTTTTACCATATTTATTTCTCCAAACAATCTTATATAATCCTAAATACATTTTTAGTACCAAAAACTAACTCTTTAAATATAAATTTTACATTACAATCTAAATAAATCTCCTTTATTTCCTCTAAAGTATTCATAAACTTCTAACATTCATTTAAACTCATTTAATTTCTTTAAATATATTAGTTTTTTATGAATTCACCATATTCTTTTAGTATTTCATTTAATAAAAAACTGCATTTTTTCCCATAAAAAATAATCATTGGTAAATAGTAAACATTATTAAATTTCATAAAAAGAGTTTTTTTATAAAAATCTATATATTGATTTTAAAGACTTTCGTTTTCAGTCCAAAAATGAACTGATAAAGCTTATAAAAACTACTCTTTTGTATAAAGTAAATATTATTTTGTATTATTATTAAAGAATTATTAATATTAGGTAATAAATTCTTTAAGAATATAAATTTAATCAATAGATAGTTCAGATTCATCTTTTAAATGTAATTACTACTAAAAATAGATAAACTGAGCCAAATAATAAAACTCAAATATTTAATTTAACTGATTTTTTTCTAAATATTATCTAATTTATTTTTCATTGTTATTATTTCTAATTATTTCTTCTATTAAATTTTATTTTTTACATAGTTTCAAATTTCTTAAAAATTCTTATTCTTCGTCTTCATTTTATTCTTCTTCTTTTTTGAAATAAAAATCAATTTTATTGTTCTCTTATAAACCTAAAATTTACCTTACTTTGTTCTATTCTAAATAGAATAAATTAAATAAGTAAAAAAAACCTTCCTTTTATTAATTATTTTTATTCATTTATTCCAATATATTTTCTAATTCATCGATATTTTTAGGAATAAAACTTACTTGAGAACATAAATTCAAATATTTTCCTAAAAAGTAATTATTATTTTCAAATAATAACTCTTTTTTTTTAAATAAAAAATTATCTAATTATTATATTAATTCGAATTTCACTTTTCCTCTAACACAATACATTTATAGTATTTTCTTAACATCTTAATATGAAAAGTCATATAGATCTTAATGTGTTTTTATGTTTATTATAGAATTAACGTCCTATTTAGAATTAATTATTTTTATTTTTTCCAATATTTCGAGTATATCTTATAGAGAAAATACTTTTTCATTTTTCGGTTCTTACAAACAATAATAAATTTAAATAACAATATCTTCTATTTAGATTTTTAAATTATTTTCATAAATAAAATCTATCATTTATTTTAACTAGGGAAGATTTTTGGGCATTTTCATTTATCTAAATATTTCATTTTATTATATTATTTATTCTGTTGTTAAATCTTGTTATTTAGTATATACTTTTAGTATTTCTAGTAAATTTTACTTTGATAATAAAGTTGGATAATTCAATAAATAAGAGTATAATTGAGATGTTTAAAGTGTATTTAATTATTAGATTTCCTTCATTATTGATTATTTAAAATATTTGTAAGCATTTTATTTTTTTGACTATAAAAATAATAGATCTTATTCAAAATTATTTTGTGAAAATTGAAAAAAAAAAAAATTTTTTTTAACAGGTAATTTTTAAAATAATTTAGAAAACATTTTTTTATTTTTTTGATTTATTATAATTTTATACACAATATTTTTTTCTAAGTTTAATTATGTATATATATATATATATAAATATATATATATATATATATATATATATATATTTATTCTATAATAATAAAATAAGTTTATATTATTATGATTTATGAATATAAATAAATTAAAAATAATTTTAATATATATTATATTTAATTCATTAAAAAAAAAATTAAAAAACAAATAATAATCATATAATTATAAATATTATAAAAAACAAATAATAATCAGAAAATATTACAAATTTAAAATAAAAATATTTTTATAATTATAAAATGCATATATATTATATATAATATATATATAAAAAAAGGAAACTTAAATACATTTAAAAAAAGAATAAACAAAAAATTATAATTAATACAAAAAAGAAATAAAAACCAAAAAAAATATATATATATACAAATGGCTCTATTAGGTAAAACATTAAAAGGTCGAAGTACCCGTCCAGGTGGTCTTCCTTAAAAGCGAAATATAAAATATCGTCAATTAGCAAAAAACCAGGAAGAATTCGACTAACTAAAACAACTAGCCAAACTAAAACGCGAAGGTTTAAAAAACCGTATAAAAGATGAATAAAAGATAGTTTTATTTAACAAAAAGAAGCTTTTGACCTATTGGCGTAAAATAATGAGAATAGCAAAAACTGAACAAATAAAAAATGAAATCGACATATACTCTTAAAACAACTAACGAGAATTAGATTCTAAAGAAGCTTTCATATAAATGCTTGACAAAAACCTAGATGAAGCCGAGGATTAATTCCAAATTGCCCTAAGGAACCATCTAATGCATACTGATAACTTGAATTAACTCTAAGAAGCACGAATGAGGGGTCTATAGGAAGAATTTAACCGCGATATTTAGATTTTAGAGAATGAATTTGACTTAGAAAGAGAAGATATGGTAAAAACACACAAAACACACTTAAAAGAACTTGAGGATATGATAGAGACGGTAAAAGAAGAGGATAAAAAGAAAATGGAAGAAGCCTAGAATGAGTTTTCATAGTTCAAAGAGGAGACTAAGAACAAAAATTTAGAAGAAACTAATGTAATGAAGATTATTTTGGAGACTAAATAGACAAAATATTACACTGAATTGGAATAGATGAATTCGAAATTTCAAAGTGATACTTCAAATAAAGTTAAAGATCATTAATTTCTGCATTAGCATAATAAAAATAGGAAAAAAGAAATAGATAGGTACTTAAGAATGATTGCGTCTAAAAAAGCTAATATAGAACTCGAAAAAGTCAAAATCAATTAACATTGTAAAGAATTTAATGCCAGGAATTAGGCTCTTAAAAAAGAAAAGGAAAACATATCTAATAGTTATCATGATTTAAAGCATAAAATGTAGAAATTCAGAGAAGAAGAGTCTAATAGACTTAAAGAATTGACTAATAATTCCAGAAATACAGTACTTAAGTTAAAAGAATATGCATTATTAGGCGAAAAAATACTTAAAACAGCAGAATTATGTAGAAGATTAGAAACTGAAAAGGAAAAAGTAATACCTTTTTATGAAGAGACAGTAGATGACGATGAAATACCTTAATAATTGAAGGATGAATTAGAATATTTGAAACCTGAAGAAAAAGATGAGTATTCTTATTTAAATAATTTCTATAAAAGATATAATAAAGTCTTATTGGATAAATTAGCTATAGATAAATAAAAAGAAAATCTATAAAAAGATAATAAATTACTCAAATCTTTACTTAAATAATATTTAGATGGAATTTCGCTAAATGATGATGTATTTTATATATAAAATATTATATATAAAAATATATATATATATATATATATATATATATATATATATTATATATATATATATATATATATATATATAATATTTTCTAGGTACTTAAAAATGAAAATAATCCACTTCTAGTTGTAAATCACAAATTTAATTTAGGAAAAATTTAAGCAGAGAGATATGAAAACAAAACAATTATAGAAGGTCCTTTTTAAGTTAGAAGTACTTAAATGTAATTATAAGGATAAAAACCAGGATATTTTTGAAATATATATAAATAAATATTTATATATACATATATATTATATTATATATATCAAAATATATATATGTATTTTTTCTTATAATTAAAAAAATATATGAAATTATATATATATTTATTTTTTAAATATTAACAATATATATGAATATATAAATATATATATATTTTATAGATATATATATATATATATATATATATATATATATATATATATATTTTCTCTTAATTTTTTTTAACAATTATAAAATATTTAAATTGATTTTTCGTTTATCATTATAATATTTTAATTCTTAAAACAAAACAAAATAGCAATTATATTTTATTTAGTTAATATATATAAATTTAATATTTTTTTCAAATTTTTAATTATTATTATTTTATTTTATAACTTTTTATTTATCGATTATCTTCTTTTTAATGTATATTTTCATTTTATTAAAAACTATCTATTTTCTCGTTTATGTTCTTTAATTTAGAAAGTTTAATATTTTATGAATTTTAATTAATTTAACGTTATAAAAGATTATTGTTTATACTACTTAATTAAAAACAAACTTTTTATATATATTTATTTGAATGAAAGCTATTATTATTTAAAATTTTTTATCTATTTAATAATAAAAATATTAATATAAAATTTAACTTATATATTAATTTTTTTAAATACAATTATTAGTTATTTTATTCTTCATTCATTTATTTATATATTTATTTGTTAATTATTTATTCTTCAATTAATTTTTGAAAATTAAAATGTTAATTTTCAAAATTATTTTAATCAGAACTTTAAAAAGTGAACTTTTTTTCATTTTATTTTTATAAAAACTCTTTTTCTTAAAATTAAGTATTATACCTCTTATTTTCATTTTTAATAATATTTTTTAAATCTTTAAAATATTACTTTTTAATATAAATATTATCATTTTGGATAATTCTTTAATAAATTCTAATTTATTATAAATATATATATAATTATATAAATATTATTTTTATTATATTTATTAAAAAATATTTACTATTTATATATATAATTATTATCTTCATTTTAATTTTTCTATAAATTATAAATATTTCCTTTATTTTATATTGGTGGTAAATAAATATTATTACTATATTATTTTTTATTAGAATTTTTATTTTTTCTTATAATTAATATTATGTATCATTATTTATAGTTTTAGCCTCGTAATTATTATTTATATTAATATTTTAAATCAATTTATTAATATTATATAATTAATTTTCTAATATTTTCTTCTTTTTATTTATTTCTTAAATTTTTATAGCTTTATTTAGTTAATATACTATTTATTTATTATGACAAATATTTTAAGTTATTTCATTTTATTTAATTATTTTATTTTATAGTAAGCTTTCTAATTTTCTTAAACATGGTAATTCCTTTTGTTTTGATATATATATATATATATATATATATATATATATATATATATAAATATATATATATATATATATTTTTTTTTTTCATATATTTTTATATTATTTACTTTTTTATTTTAAATATTTATTTCTTAAATTTTATTATTAATTTCTTCGTCTTTTTTATTTTTTTCATTTACAGGTTTTTCTTTTATTATTTAATGGAAATATATTTTATTTTTATCTTTAAATATATTCTTATTTTTATTGATTTATATTTTTTCTTTTTTTTCATCTTGTTTTTCCATTATATTTTTTTTCTTCTTTTATCTTAATAAACTATGGTTTTGTTCTTCGTTTTTTTAATTTTATTCTTCTTATTTTTTATGAATAACTTTTCTGTATTTTTAATTTGGTTCTTTAATAAAAATCATACAGGGTCCTTCAATTTTTTCATCTTTATTTTTTTCTATTCTTCTTCTTTATAATCCATTATATTTTTCTTCTTTTTTACCTTTGTAATTATAATTAATATTCTTCTTTGTTTATTTCTTCATATTAATATTTTTCTTTATATTCAGATACTTCATTATATTAATCTTCTTCGTTATTCTTTTATATATTATCTTCTTCATTTTTATTATTAAATTTAGATTTTATATTATTTAAATTTTATTTACTTATATCTTCTGTTGTATTTTAGAGATATAAAATAATATTATTATTATTATTATTATTATTATTATTATTATTAATATTAATATTAACATTTTATTTATAATTTTCTTCATTGTTTTCTTTACTTTCTTAGTTTTAAATATTTTTTTCCTTACATATTATATTTTATTTTTCTTCCTAATTATTATTATTAACTTTTTTTTATAAATTTTTTTCATTATCGTCACTATTATTTGCAAACGTAGATTTTTTTAAGAAGTTTTTTTTAAATAAATTTTTTATTTAATTAAATTATTTCAGTTTAAACATTATTATTAATATTTTTCTTTTCTTAATTTTTATTATTTTATTCTTAAAAACTAACTATATTATTATTTTAATTAGAATTCTCATAATTACCTTAAATATCTTTTTTTATTAAATTTCTTCATTTAAAATCAATTTATCACATTTAGTTATATTTTCTTAAAATTAATCATCATTATAGTCTTCTTTTTTAATATTTATTAATTCCGCAAACAATGATTTTCTTTAATTTTCTTTTTTCTTTTATATTTCTTTATTTAGCTCTTCTATATTTTATTAAATTTTTTTATAATTTTAGTCATCATTACTTTCTTATTCTTTTTATAAAAATTATATATTAATTTAATTTAAAAATGTGATTTTATTTAACTTTTAATTGAATTCTATATATCTTCATTTAATTAATCAATTTATATTAAATCATTTTTTATTTGTATTTCTTATTATTCTATTTATTATAATATTTAAATTTAATTGAATTCTTTAACTTCTTCTCTATTTATTCCAAAAGTAATGGCTTTATTTGTAAATATATTTTCTTTTTATATTTAATTATACATTTCATCATTTATAATTTATTATTAAAAATTATTAAATGTATTAGTTAAATTTTAAAGCGTATTTGTCGTTTGATCTGGTTACTAAATAACTATTGTTTCATGAAAAAAATCTTGTTTTTATTCATACTTTTATTAATATTTTTTTATTTTTTTATTTTTTTACAATATTGCTTATTTGAGGATTATCCATATTTAAATATTTATATTTTATTTTTATAAATTTTAATGTATTTTGTTTTTTTAATATTATTATAAAAAAAAAATAATAATATTAAAAATATAAAATAATAAAATAAAATAATTTATATATTTAGATAACTAAAAAAATAATAAAATTTAATATATATATATAATATAAAAATTATATAATAAAATAAACTTATATAAATGTTTTTATTAAATAATTTAAATAATGAAAATATAATGTATTATTTTAAAATAAAATAAAAATAATAACTAATATTAAAATTAGTTTATTTTAAAAAAAATATATATTAAGAAATATATTATAATATATATATATATCTATATAAAGAATTAATAAATATAATAAAAATATATATTTTATAATTTATTATGAATATTTAAAATTATAAATATTTAATAAATAATTTTTTATAGAAATAGATATTTATATATAATATATTTATATAAAATTCATTTTAATAATTCACTAATATTATCAAAATGGAATTTCATTTAATCAAATGAATTTTCTTATTTTTATTTTTCCTTATTTTTTTTTTATTTTTTTTTATAATATATTTTTCTTTATTTATTTATTTACTTAATTTTATTTTTAAGATTATTCTTAGTCATTTTCTTTTTAAAATTTACTATAAAAAAGATTAATTTATTTTCTCAAGAATTCTTTTATTTTTTTAACATTTTCTTCATTCAAAATATGATTTTCTTTAAAAACGCCTTTATTCTTATCCATTTTCATTAATATAAATTCCAAAAAATTTAAAAAACTGATAATAAAATGACATTTTTCTCCCAAATCAAACTATTCTTATAGAATTTCTTCAAAAATATTTTCCAAAAACACTCTCAAGCTCTAATATTAAGTAAATAAATTCTATAAATTATTCTAAAGATTCTCATTTATTTATTTCCTGAAAATATTTAATAATAACCCTGCCATTTTATTATTATTATTTTTCAAAATAGATTTTTAAAGAATTTCAAAAGCACAATTTTTCTCAAAAAATTCTAAAAAGCACCCAAGTCCATCCAAAAACTAAACCTATAGTTCTTTTTCATAATTTTATCCAATAATTTCCATTATATTAACAATAAACAAATTAGCCTAAACATTAAAATAATTAATATTATTTATTCTATTTTCATAAAAATAACTATTTTTTTCATTATTTTTTTGAAAAATATATATACATTCTTTAATTAAATCTTTTATAAAATCAGCTTTTTATTGTTCTTTTTATAAAAAAATACTAATAAAAGGCAAAAGTATTCTTAATTAATAAACATCTTAATAAAATACTTTAAATTCTTTTTTTTAAAACATTTTTTTCAAAAAATAGGCGACTCCAAATAAATTATAAACTGAATCTGCCTTATATTCTTCTTCTTATTCTTATTTAAAAGAATCTTTTCCTATAAATTAATTAAATCTCATTTAATAGATTAAATTATCAATTAAATCTTGATAATTAGATACTAATTTTTCAATAATTTATGTAATACTTCCCAAAAAAGATTCGACTTTTTTCTCTTCGAATACTCCAGGTTCATGAAGAACCTCAAAAATACCTTAAATTATATCTAAACAGAAAAATATAACATATTGTAAAGATATTTTGTCACAATTCTATTCTTTTTTTAAATATTGACAACTTTTTTCATCCAAAAAATAAATATCTTAAGGCTTTAGAAGGTCTTTAAATTAAATCTCAGGAATTAAGGAAAGATTAGTCAAGAATCTTTATAAAAAATCAATTAAATATGATTGAAAATGCATTGTAAATTAAGTTTTTGACTCTTTTTAAAACCTATTTTAGACTTTTTTAATACATAAAAGAATTGTCCTTAAAACAATAGGAAAATAAGTGCCGAAAAAATTATGTTTAGGTTAAATATTTAATAATAATTCCTATATTAATTCTAATAAAACGAATTTCTTCTCAATTTATTTGGTAGATTCAATTATATTTTTTAAAAAAAATAGAATGTATTTCTATATTATTAGAAAAAAAAATTATAAATTAATAAATATAAGTAAATAAATATATAAATATATTAATTAAAAAATTATATATATATATATATATATATATATATATTTATATATATATATATATATCTTATTTTTATATATTTTTTAATTATACTTTGTCTTATATTTAGATTAGATTTTTCATTATATATAATGATAATTCATTTTTTGTTTAAGGATTTTCTATTTTAGAAAAATTATTTAAAATTTTAAAATCTTAATATATGTTTTAATCAGATAATATTTTCAATGTAAATTCTAAAAAATGATCAGGGTTTTATTCCAAGTATTTTAAGGGAAGCTAAGGTATATATTTTATATAATTTGTGAATTTTTCTTACTCTATTTATGCTTTTATTTCATTTTATAAATAGTTTGTGAACTCTTATTCTGTTGGATTTTCATTATTTTCAACTATTTTTTATAATAAAGATGAAAAGTCCATTTTTTCAAAAAAATATTATTTTTTTATTATAAATTTATTTTGATTAATTTTCTATTTTTCTATAAGATTAATTTTTATAATATATCATATTTATATTTTTATAATAATAAAGATATATGAATATTTTATAATTATTTAAAATATTAAATATTATAAATAAAAGTTTTTAATTATTTTATAATTATTACATTTTTAAAATTTAAATAAAATATATTTTATTTTAGTATTTGTCAATAATAATTTAATATATAATTTAGTTATAAAAAAGCATTGTAATTATAATCATTTAATATAAACATTAATAAAACAATACAAAATATAAGTGATTTTTATTTTAATATAACAATATGAACAATAAAAATAAATATATTTAATTTTAATTTATAAATAAAGTCTAAAATAAAATATTTATATATTAATATATATCTAAATATATTTATTATTAAAATTTTGTAAAAAAATTAAAAAAATAAAAAATGATATATTCAATAAAATACTATAAGCATTTTATATAATTAGCCATATTATTATATAAATTTAGTTAAGCATATTATTTTATTTGTAAAATAAATTAATAAAATACAATAAACATTTATTTATATATATTTATATAAATATATTAAAATATAAATACTTTATTAATTTTTATTAAATAAACATCCTTTATAAGGAAAAATACTTTATATAACTGAATAATTTTTTATTTTTTAATAATTTAATTTTTTTAAAAAAACTAATATAAATATAAAAATTATTTTTTTATTTAACTATTTGATAAAATAATAATAAAATATGATATGTAGATACACTTATAATTAATAATGTTTCAATAAAAATAACATTTTTTACCTGTCTATTATTCTCTTGTTTTTTTAATAAAATAATTTAATAATATAATTTAAATTATAAATATTAATATATACATTTATATATTTTTCAAGGAATACAATCATGAATTTATATTAAAATAAATCTTTTTTGTTATTAAAATGATTAAATAAACATATACAATGTAGATTTTTAAATAAAGAATTAGTCTAAAAAGTTACTAAACATAAACAGTATTTATACCACTTTGACAATTAGAAAAAAACTAATCTTCTGTAAAAATCATTTTTATATTTAAAATTTATAACGAAGATGAATTTTTAATTGATATTTATTGAAAAATATATATATAAAATATATTTTTATATCTAAATTTTAATGATTGATTGGCTATTAAATTAAAAATAAAATGAATCGGATAAGATGATATATATAAAAAGGGTGAAGTCTGTTTATTTTATTTTTATAATTAAAGGAAAATTAAAATGACTTTTTTAAAATAAAAATAATAAATATAGTTTCAATATAATAAAAAAAATGGATAAAACCTTGGATTTTATATCTTTTTTAGTAAAAAATATTAGAAAAGCTTATATAAAAAGTGTTTATATAATTAATTTAGTATTAAGAAACATTTTAAAAAACTATGTTCATTTATAATATGATTTTAATATGTTTAATGATTAACTTTTTATATTTATTAATTAATAAAAATTTGAAAGTTAATTTATTTTTATTTATTTCTTGTAAATATATTAAAATTATATAATAATTAATCTTAATATAATAATTATATTGAATTTATGATTTATGTATTTTAATATATTATATTATTATATTTATATTTTTTTTATTCTATTTTAAGAATTAATAAATAAATAAATTTTCTCATAAAATAATAGTAAAAAAAAATAAAAAAATCTAAAATTCTTTGAAATTATTATAATCAAATATGAGTAAAAAAACATATAAAAATTATATTAGGTATTTCTAATTAATATATATTTTAAAGATTTAAATAGAAATTTTCTTAATTAGAAAAAAAAAATATACATAAATATAAATATATATATATTTATATATATAATATATATATATATATATATTATAATTGTCATAAAAAGATGACAAAGAAAATTCAATATAGAAAAAAAATTAAATATTATAATACTTTAATATTTATTAATAACGATATAAGTTTATGAATTTATATAACATAAAAAAGATGATTAAATTTGATAAATAAATTTATTTAATTATAAAAAAATTAAAAATATTATACAAAAAGCTTAAAATAAAATTAAATATAAATAGATATTTAAAGTGATTAACATAAACAAAGAAATTTAACCAAAATAATGTTAAGAAATTAAATAAAAAATTAAAATAAATACATTTCATATTTTATATTTTAAAATAAAATTAAAATATAAAAGAAAAAAAAATATCTTAAATATATTACTTGAATTACTAATAAGAAATAAAATAAAGAAAACTATATAAAAATAAATTAACAAAAAAATATTTATATTTTTTTTTAGATAAATAAAAGAAATTTAAATATGTATTTTAAGGTATCAAAGTAATTTTTAATTATATATTATAAATTATTATATTATATTATATAAATTAAATAAAAATATTAAAATAAAAAAATAAGATATATATTATATTTATATATATATTTTTATATATTTTATATTTAAATATGCACATTACTATTTTTTTTCATCTATATAAATATAAATATAAATAAAATTTTTTGCATTTTTTTTGTTTTTATTTATTTCTTTTATATATATATTTGTAAATATAATATTTATTAATTTTAAAATATATAATATAAAATTAAGTTTTTTTTTAAATTCATTTTTTTTTTTATATATTATAGATATTTTTAAAATAAGTAATATATTAAAGAAACTTTATAAAAGAATTTTTTTTATAATAATATAACAACAATATAAAAATATATTAAAAATATAATAATCCAAAAAAAACATAAAAAATAAATAATAAGAATGTATTATTTAATTTTATTAATAATTACATTATAAATTTCCGTTTTATTATGCGATAATGGTACTTAAGAATACAAAATTTGTGCTAATTAACCAGTTTCCAAACTTACTTAATTTTGTATTCTAAGAGGTTATAAAATAAGTGCTGATGGTAAAACATTTTTACCAATCACTGCAGATTAATGTTTGAATCTTCCAGTAAAATAATAATGTTCTTTAGCTTGTAGAGATTACGGTTATGTATATAGTGGTACTGGAACAGATACTGATTGTGCAGTTCCCACTACATGTTAATCTTCTACAGATGTTTGCTGTCCTTTATGTATAGATTAAGGTTTCTAAACAGTATCTAAGACATGTTAATGTCCTTAGAAATATATTGTAGGCATTTAATGTATATCTCTAGGATGGGATTATTGTATCAAATACAGTAAAAACGACGTCTGCCCTTCCGATTGTATAAGCAGAGGTTATGTACCTAACGAAAATTCAGGATGTTTACCACCAAACTATTTCACATGTTATAATTAACCTGTATGTTTTGATGGATAAGATGGTAAAATGGCCTGTGTAGACTATGGATGGATTGCTTAAGAAGGAAATATATGTAATTTAAATGAATAAAACAGATGCTACAGTTCAAGTGAAGGATGTAGTGATTTAAATATAAATAAAAACGGCTTTTGTATAGATTCTGGCTTTTAAGATATAAACGGATAGTGCTTATGCGTGAGTCCTAATTATGAATATAATTACTATTGCTGGTAAAATGCCGTATCCTGGGATTTATGCTATAAATAAACAGATAAATGTCCTTAAAATTGTATTGATGGTGGATTCATTAATTTTACTAATTTAGATGGTAGTTTTTCATGTTTACCTCCTTAAAATTGCGATACATTGGATAAATGCACTTTAGCTTGCATTGCTTATGGATATTAATAAGTTGGTAAAAAATGTTAAGCTCCTCAATGCCATTCATAGCTTGCTTGTAATCGTTAAACTAGATATTGTAGGGATTAAGGGTTCCATAATATGAGTGAAGATGGAAAAAGTCACTGTTAATGTACTCCTGATATGAAGGAAGTAAATAATAAATGTGTTTGGATTGATTAATAGGGCGAAAAAAAATTTTAAGAATAAAAAATTTCATTTCTACAAAAATATTTTTAATATTGATTTTATTTTTTAATTATTAAATAAATATTTGTTATTTTTTTATTAAGATTATAAATTTAATTTAAATTATAAAGATTATTAAAATTTTTATAATTATTATTGATAACCTTAAAAAATATAAATTAATATGAAATATATATTGAAAAATGTTATTAATATATAGAAAGAATAATTTTAGTTGTTAATTTATGTATTTTATATAAAAAGAATATAAATTTGATAAATATAATTAAAGAGAATTATAATAAAAAATAAAAATATTTAATATATACATAATATATAAAAAAAATAATTAAATGAGTATAAATAATTTTGGCATTTAAGAAATAAAGACATACAATTTTAAAAATAGAAACTAATGTAAATAAAAAACAACAAATAAATAAACACAAAATAATATGAAAATATATATAAAATAATGTAAAATTAAAAGAAAAATAACTATAGACATAGATAAAAGAAATAAAAAAAAAAAAAATCACAAACATAAATGATTAATTATTAAAAAGTAAAAAAAAATATATATTTATATATATATTAAATATATATATATATATATATATATATATTTAATATATTTATTTTATATTCTTAATTTAAAAAGTTATTTAAGATACCTAAATAAACTATAAAACAACATATTAATATATATATATATAAACTCACATAACCAACCATTAATTAAACTTAGAATATATCCAATAATATTATCCTTTTGCTACTCTAGAAACAATTCTAGATTTTTAACAAGAATAAAATTCCTTTCAAAAGATTATCCTATAATAAAATACATAAAGCTCATTAATAATAATTCTAGAAAATTCTTCAAATATAATTTTATTTTTTTTATCTTAAAACTCTTTTTTTCCTTTAAGATTACTTAATATAACCCTTTAGACTCCTATATATCTTTAAATATTAAATTAATTTAAAACTCAATAAAATTATTAATTAAACCCTAATAATTGCGAAAACCTATAATAGCATCAAATAATTAACGACTAATCTTTGAATTAATAAAAATCTATACTCACAGATCGCCTCAAATAACTAAATTCTTAAATAATAACATAAAAATCTACCCATTAATCTTCCCTATCTCTTAAAAAAGATGACCAAAACTCTAAATTATGGAACGGTTTTTACAAGAAAACCTAAAAAGAGCGTCTTGACCAGCTTTAAAAGCTCTATTAAAATCTCGAAACTTCTTGCTTTGAAGACGGAGGCTTAACTCTTGACCGAGCAAACCTTATGGTAGAAAATTGCATTGGAAAAATATCTCTTCCACTAGGACTTGGCCTTAATTTTAACATAAACGGGAGCTATTTTACCATTCCAATGGCTGTAGAAGAGCCTTCGGTGATCGCTGCTGCTTCTTCAGCTGCAAAATTCATCGACGAGCAAGGCGGCGGGTTTAAAACATACTCCACGAAACCAATAATGATCGGATAGATTTAGTTTTCTGAATTGGATGTTGTAAAAACTTAATTTTTAATCGAAAATCATAAAAACGAAATAATTTCCTTTGCAAACGAAAGTTGCCAAAATATTGTAAACCGAGGAGGAGGTGTAGAAGACATAAAAATCCAAATTTTAAATGAATCCGATAAAATTCTCAAAAACACCAATATAGACCTAATTCCCTAAAGCTCCATAAATAACAACCAGAAACAAATGTTCATAATTAATTTACATATAAACGTCTGTGATTCAATGGGCGCAAATATCGTAAATACAATCCTTGAACACACTGCCCCTTATATATAGAATATAATAGGTGGAAAATTGGGAATTAAAATCCTCTCTAATCTTTGTATAGAAAGACGTTCCGGCGCTTTTTTCGAAATCCCTTTAAAAAAAATGAATTGGAAAGCCTCTTCAGGCGAAAAAGTTGCTCAAGGGATACTTGAGGCCTATAAATTTGCTCAACTAGACCCTTTTAGGGCCTCTACGCATAATAAAGGCATTCTAAACGGCATAGACGCCGTTGCATTAGCTACTGGATAAGACTGGCGATCAATAGAATCATCATGTCATGCCTTTGCGGCCTTATTTGTGAATCCAAAAGCCGGTTATTAGCCACTTACACACTATGAAATTATAAAAAATGAGAAAAATGAGCTTATTTTTAAAGGGTCTATCGAAATACCTATAGCCGTGGGTTCTAAAGGGGGTGTTTTAGCCTCTAATAGACTCTATGAAAATAATATGAAACTTCTAAAATACCCTAATGCGTAAAAACTTTCAGAAATAATGGCGGCTGTTGGATTAGGTCAAAATTTCGCGGCTTTAAGGGCTTTATCTATTGAAGGTATTTAAAAAGGACATATGAACTTACATGCTAAAAATATAGCGTTAGCAGCCGGAGTACCACCTCATTTAGTCGAAGAGGCGATTAGATATATGAAATTGAGAGGAAAAATTTAAACTGCTACCGCAAAAAATTATTTACAGGCTCATGATATGTTTTCTTAAGTTAGAATCGAAGATAATAATTTGTAATAATAACCTTTAAGTACTTTCTATGTAGAATTAGAATGCGAAAGTTTAGAGGAAAATATTATCATTCATGTAGCTTTTGACTGTTTTAGATAGGAAAAGCCTCTCCATTTATCAATAGAAAAGGAAAACAATAACTAAGAGCAAGAACTTAAAGATTTACACAATAAAATATTCGGTCCTAAAGGCTATAAATGGCTCAATAAGATATTTTCTTAACTAGAAATCGTCAAATTAAACATCGAAAATGAATAAAAATTACCCACAAGGGCCCTAGTGTATAAATTAAAGCTTTTAGTAATTATTATAGACCTCCTAGCAGCAAATCTACTAGCTTTAAATTCCCAAAAATCGATTGTAGTCATCCAACTAATAGAAAATTTCAAATAAACCAAAAGCAGTAGAAGACTTGACCTTTCTACTCTTTTAAAAAACGAACCCATAGAGATTAAATATGGTCTTTCCTTATTATCTGAGTGTATTAGAATTTTCGAGTACAATTTAGAATCTCTCGTAAAAAACGAAATTCTCAAAAACGCTTTATATTAGGAACTTTTCCTGATTTTAGAAAGCCTTATTTAAACCTATTAATACTGGGACAAGGCTTTAAACCATAATTTTTTCGACTTCAATTCTTTTTTGAAGGTAAGATAAAAAAGACTATGTGCGACTATGATTTTATTATGCGATATGTGTAATTTAAATACTGAAAATATCAATTAAAACAGTATTAATGTAATAAACTAGATTGGAAATGTGTACGAAATAGAAATTACTATAGCCAGAGATGTTTAAAAATGGAAAAGAGATTTAAATGAGAAAAATTTATTTAGTTATTGGCTTTTGGAAAGGAATATTTTCCAAAAAGAAAATATAGAAAATCTTAAATTGGAGTTTTTTGGGTTTGCGGGTAAAATCCTTAATACAAAAAGGGAAGCTATAAAATCTAAATTAGATGAAAAATTCAATATACTTTGTGATATTACATCTTAAGTTATTAGATCTTTATATAATGTTGATAATAATTAAAAATTATGATTTTTTAATTATATATTTATTTTTATTAAATAATTCAGAATGATATTAATAATAAATAAAATTATATTATTAATATTTTATATATAAATGTATATTTCCTCATAATTTCTTTTATAATTTCTATTAAACTTTACTAAGTAATTAATCAGCTTCCATTTTATCATCTTCATCGTAATAAAGTTTAAAATTAAACTACTCTTAAGTATTTTTATCTTCGAAAACGAAAGTTTCTTCAAGTGTTAAACAATCAAGGATTCTATCTGCATGAATGACTAAAGTTTTATGATTCTCCAACTCTTTTAAATTCTTAGCTTATTCCTATATACTTTACATTAACTAAACACAATAATCCTATAGTATTTATTTTAAAACTGCATCAATATTTTACGAAACATTATTACTAATAGCCTATTTAATTTAAGAATCTAATTAATTCCCAACTAATAAAGCGCTTCCTTTGATTCTCTCAAACATCGAATTAAAGTAAAGCCTAAAAACATCATGTTCTTTTTCAATATACATATAAATATCATTATAATCTTTACTAAGAATAAACTAATCCCAAAGCTCCAATTTGAAAACGTTTTCTTTTTTCTTCATTTTACTTGCTAGAAATTCAACTTACTATAATAGTTTTTTTACTAATAAAAACCCGACTATTTCGCTAATTTTAATATTTTAATTATTCATTGCATCCTCTGCTACAGAAGCCAAAAAAACATAAATATTTCTCTCATGAAGAATCCTGTTTGCGTTTCTTTTTTTAATTCTAATTTACATTTCCCTTAAAGACTCTTTAGTTTATACTTCCTCGTCTTCATTTTTTACTTCTTCCTATTATTATTATTATTAATATTATTATTACTACTCTTCTACTCTTTCTGTCTACCTCTTAATGATTGCTCCTTAATAATTTTCTTAATTACCTGTTCCTCCTTTTGCAACATTAATTGCATAGTTATTAATTTCTTATTTTTTTTCGATTTCAGAAGGATGATTAATTACTTTATTATTTTTAATATAAAATCTTGACAAATTCATTGCTATTTATCCGTTATCCTTCATTGTTGCCTCCAAATCATTTTTAATTTTATCATCTAAAAAATAGTTGATTTTATGTCCAAAAACCTCATCCCATTCAATCCTCTTCTTAGGGTCAACGACAAGCATTTTTCTTAAAACATCTTCAGTCACGGCAGATATTTTATTTATCTTTTTTGGAATTTCCAAAGGACTATTTTTTATCCTCTTTATTAAATCTATCATATTCCCAGCTGTAAAAGGTGGTTTTCCAAATAACAATTCAAACAAAACAGTTCCTATTGACCATATATCAGCTTTGTTATTATAATCTTATCCATCCAAAACTTATAAAAATAAAAATAAGTATATATATTATATATATCTATATATATAAATATATATATATATATATATATATATATATATATATTAATATATATATATATTTATTTTATATATATAACTTTATTTTACCTTCAGGTGCCATATTTAAAGGAGAACCTAACATAGTAGAAGTTAAATTGGAATTTCCTAGCAGTTTAGCAAATCCAAAATCTGCAATTTTTATATTTCCATTATGTTTTAGAATATTTGCCAATTTAAAATCTCTGTGCATAATTTTATTCTTTACCAAAGTCTTAAATGCGTTTATTATTTAAATTAAAAACTCTATAGCCTCGTCTTCTGTTAAATATTTCTTCTCTTTTTAATATTACATTAAGTCTCCTTCATTACAATATTCTAGCATTAAATAAAAATTATTAGCAGTCTTCTTTATATCATATAGCTTTATTATATTTTCGTTATTACATGTACGAAGTACTCGAATCTCATTTTCTAATAATTCATTAAATTTACCCTTTAAAAGTTCACGCTTTACTACTTTTATGGCTATGTCTTAGTTGTTTTGTTTATTATAACCTTTGTATACATCTCCGAATTGTCCTGATCCTATTTTACGCTCTAATACGTAATTATCAACTATTTTTGGCATTTTTGTTATTAAATATTTTTATTTTTTTTGAATATTTTTAAGAAATAAATTATTTAATTTTCTTTTTAAATATATTTTTTATGCATAAATAATTATTTTTAATTCATAAATTAAAATATTGTATTTTTATATTTAAAAATAAAAAAATTCCTTGTATTTTATTTTAAAAAAATAATAATTTATTGTTTAAATATATAGATATTAGAATTTATAAAATAAAAATTACTAATATTATAAAATAAAAACAATTAAATAAACTATTTATATATAACTTATTTTTTTTTTTATAAATAAAATAAATAATATTAAAAAATAATTTAATAATAAATATTAAATATCAAATATAAATAAAAATTCTATTTTAATTTATAATTAAAAAAAAAAAAGTTTTTTTTTATATTTTAATTATTTATTTTAAATACAAAAAAAAAAAAAAAAATTATTTTATTTTTAGTTAAAATTTTTAGCATAGCTAAACATATGTTTATATTAACAAAAAAAAAAAATACAAAAAAACAAAAAAAGAATATTTTATATTTATAATTAATAATATTTTATATAAATTTTTATAAATGACATATTTTTTAGAATTTTTTTTTTTTTTTTTTAAATGCTTTTTTTGTTTAAAATAAAATATGTTTTTTTTTTAAAAATAAATAAATATATATATATAAAAAAAGTAAAATATTTCAAAAACAATAATTAAAAAAAATATTTCAAATCAATAATTAAAAAAATAAAAGAAAGGAAGAAAAAATTAAAATAAAAAATAAAGAAATAACTCTTTTTTAAAACCAAAAAAAATGCAAAAAAAACAATAAAAAAACAACAACAATTTTATATTATTATTATTTTCCTTAAATTTTTATTTTTTATTTTTTTTTTTTTAAAAAAAAATATTCAACCACCAAATCCGTATAAAGTTCTTCCTTATCTCTTTAAGGCATAAACAACATCCATAGCAGTAACAGTTTTTCTTCTGGCATGTTCAGTGTATGTAACAGCATCTCTAACAACACTTTCTAAGAAAGATTTTAATACTTATCTTGAATCATCATAAATGAAAGATGAAATTCTTTTTACTCCACCTCTTCTAGCTAATCTTCTAATAGCAGGTTTAGTAATTCCTTCAATAGAAGCTTTATTTGATTTTCTAGAGTGTCTTTTAGCACCAACTTTTCCCATTCCTTTTCCTCCTTTTCCTCCTTTTCCGGCAGCCATTTTTTTGTTTTTTAGTTTTTTTTTTTTTTTTTATAATTTTTTTTTATTAAAATATTTATTTTTTAATGAGATAAACTTATATATATATATATATATGATTTCTATTAATGACATAATTATATATTAGCAATATTTTATATATATATTTATTAATAATAATTATATTTTTAATAATTTTTCCTTTATTAAAATAAATAAATGTATTATATTTAAAAAATTTAATTAAAGTTATCCATCATTTAAAAAGATAATCAATATGATTGGATAATTTAGCTAATTCAAAGATATTTAAAAAATCTTAAAAAAAGCGCATATAAAAAAAAATTAAAAATTAAAAAAAAAAAAAAAAAAAGAACCTAAAAAAAGCATTTATATTTAAAAAAAATACAATAATAAAAAACAAAAAATTAAAAAAAACAAAAACAAAAAAAAAACTCAAAACAAAAAAAAATGGCTAGAACTAAATAAACTGCTAGAAAATCTACTGGTGCTAAAGCTCCCAGAAAATAACTTGCCTCAAAAGCCGCAAGAAAATCCGCCCCAGCCACAGGAGGAATCAAAAAACCCCATAGATTCAGACCCGGAACAGTAGCTTTAAGAGAAATAAGAAAATATTAAAAATCCACAGATTTATTAATCAGAAAATTACCTTTCTAAAGATTAGTTAGAGATATTGCCCATGAATTTAAAGCTGAATTAAGATTCTAATCTTCAGCTATCCTCGCTTTATAAGAAGCCTCTGAAGCTTATTTAGTTGGTCTTTTCGAAGATACTAACTTATGTGCTATTCATGCTAAAAGAGTCACTATTATGACTAAAGATTTATAATTGGCAAGAAGAATTAGAGGTGAAAGATTTTGAGTGAGATTTTATAAATTAATTTTTATTTTTATTTTATATTAATAAGTTGATTGTGTTGCATTTTTTTTTTTAGTGTTTTAAAAATAAGTTTTCTACCATTTTTATTATAGTCTTTTTTTTATTTTACTTTTACTATTTTTTTTATTTTTTTTAAATATTCATCTCTTTTTATCACAATTTTTTTTATTTTTTTTTTGATATTTATTGTTTTTTTTTTTTTATTTTAAAATTACTTAATATTATATTATTTTTTTTTTATTTAGAATATTTTTATAATAATAAATAATTTTTCTATTTAATTATAAATAGTTTTCAATTTTTAAATGTACTTATTATGCTTTAATTAGAAATATATCCATTATTCATTAATGAAGTTTTTTAATATAATTGTTAAATTTTAATATTTTATTTAAAATGATAAATTAAAATAAATTAACTAGTATATAATAAGATATAATTATTAAATATATAATATATATTTTATTAATTAAAATAAATATTATATATTATTTAATATACTTAAAATTATATATATCTTTATTTAAATAAAATAAAATAAAATAAATATGAAAAAATAAATAATTAGATTATTGCAATACAAATTTACAAAATAATTAATAAATATAAGTAAAAGATAATTTACATAAAAATATTCCAAATAAACATTTGATTAATTAAAACAACAAGCACAATAATTTTATGAAACACAAGTTAATCCAAAAAACACTAACATAGTAGAGATTTAAAAAATGGAAGAATGGTAATAAGAAGTATTAGAATCTCCTATTCCCATAGTATTAGATTGTTATGCGGAGTAAAATATAATATTAATATAAATATATATATATATATATATATATATATATATATATATATATATATATATATATATATATATATAGTTGGTGTTAGCCTTGTAAAAAACTTGCACCTTTATTAGAAGAACGAGCAAATAATTCTTAAGCTAAATGGCGATTAGTTAAACTTAATATTGATAAATTTCCATAGTTATCCACTGCTTTATAAATAAAATCAATTCCAACTGTATATTTAATATCAAATAAAAATTCAGTAGATGGGTTTGTTGGATATCCTGATGCGGAAAAGCTTAATTAATTTTTTGAAATAGTAAATAAGGTTTCAGGTTTATAAAACACAGAATAAATATATTTATAGAAAATGAGAGAATTTTAAGATTTAATATAAAAAAATGATTTGAATGGTGCTGAAGATTCAATTAAGGACATTATGGAAAAAAACTCATTTATAAAAAATAAATATGGAGGAAAACTAGTTTGTTTATAAGCTTTAATTTAAGTAAAATAAGGAGATAAGGTTAAGTGCTAAAATTATATAAATGAAGCTAATAGTAAATATAGTTTGGAAATTTAAAATGATGATGAAGTAAAAATATATATATAAAAATAAAAAAATATATATATAAATATAAAAAATATATTAATATATATAAATATATATTAATATGTATATAAATATACAGTGTAAATAAATTTTAAATGAAATTGATATGCTTATTTTATAATTAAATAATAAGTTATAATAAAACCCAAAATTAGAAGAATTAATATCTAAAGTTAACTTAAATCCACAAGATTTATCACTTGTTTTCGATTTGGCTTAAGTTTAAAATGAAAGTTAGCTCTATGAAGATTCTATTTAAAATTTGTTATATGTATTTTTCATTTTTTTATTATGATATTTTACTTTTATTTACTTTCTAGATTATAAAAGTCGATAGAAATTGGGAAAATAAAAAAGCGAATAAATTTTTAATTGAAATATTTACTAAATTAGGAGTTTCAAATAAACTAACTATTGAGGGTAGAAAAAGCTTATAAAAAATTTTATTTTGAAAAATCTTTAATTTATTTAATAATATCCATTTAAAATTTATTAAAATATATATATATATATATATATATATATATATATATATATATAAATAATAAAACATTATATATTAAATATTATATATATAAATAAAATGTTTTTTTTCTAAAAATCTATTTAACTTTATTTATTATCATTATTAATATTAAATACAATAAAATTTTCAGTAATTTAACAAAAATGTAATATATAATATATTTTAATATAGAATTGTTATTTTTTAAGTAAAAACTAAATATATATATATATATATATATATATATATATATATATAATATATATAAATAAAATATAAAATAATTAGAATTTTTTAACATTACTTTATAATTATATTTTTTAATAATAAAGTTAATAAAAATTAATGTAATAAAATTTTTTTAAATCATTAGATTAGAATACCCTAAAATTCCATAATTTTAAAATCTAAGATGAATTTAAATTTTCAGATATTTAAAACTATACAAATCCCGTAGGAAATTTAATTTCTCCTAAAAATCATTTAATATAATAAATAAACATAGAAAAATTAGATCGAAAAAAATATTAAAATTAAATAATAACTTAAAATTCTAGGATCGAATGCAATCAAAAAATTAAAAATTTAGATTTAGTTCCATAAGGCTATCTATTCCATTATAAAATTCTGAAAATAAATAATACTTAGTATCACCAGATAATATTATTAAAAGTTTTTCACAAAAATCTATTAATAATATCTTAAATAATCGAAATTCATAAAAAAATAATTCAATTTATCCACAAAAAATATAACTAATAAATAGTAGTTTATCAATAAACTCATCTGTATACAATTATAATCCAGGAATATGCTGGAATTTCATAAAAAAATTAGCAAAAGTGATAAAATTTATAGATTCTATAAAAAAAGTAAATATTTATTAAAGCTATTACAATATAAAAGAAGACCATATATAATTAATAAACGATAAAGCAAATTTTTATTAAGAAAATAAATAAAAAAATATAAAATAAATAAATCTTTAAATATTAAAATTATTAGAATATTTTGAAAAATTAATTATTCATTTCCTATAATTTAAACAGATTCAATTTTTATATAATATTTAAGTGTAAATTATATATATTTATATATATTATATATATATATATATATATATATATATATACATATACATATACATATACATATACATATATTATTCTTTTTTAATACATATTTTTTAATAATTATAAAAACACAATTAAAAAAACTCACAATTTTTTTTTCAATAAAATATAATTAAAAGAATATATTTTTTTTATAATATATATAAAAAATTATAATTTTTATTTGCGAAAATTTTCATTTTTCATTTTTTGTTTATTTTTTAATTTTATAATTATTTAATATATTTATATATATTAATATAAAAAAAGATATTGTTTTTCTTTTTTACTTCAATATTAATATTTATAATTCCTTTGAAAATATCTTTTTATGAATTAAACTCATTTGACGATTTATATTTTTCACTATAATATTAATAACTATTGAAATTTTCATTAATATACATACACACTTCTTATTACGATTAAGGCTATTTATAAAATAATAGAAAAAAAATATTAAAATAATATATAAAACATTAATTACTAATTGACATAACAAATATATCTGGCTGTGTATTATATTATCTTAACTAATAATACATTTTATTTTTATTACTAGTTTTTTTAAAGATTTTAAGATTCCAAATATACAGAAAAAACATTGATTAATATTTTTAAATTCAATAAAGATTCCCTATATAATATACTTTATCTAATCTATTATTAATGATAATGTTTCTAGCCCATATAATAGCCTGTGGATTCCATTTAATAGGAATAACCGAAATTTAACATTCGATAGCCGAAAACTGGATGGAATCTTTATAAATTGTAAATTCAGATTGGTAAACTAGATATATAAATGCAATTTATTTTTCATTTATAACTATGGTTACGGTAGGCTTTGGTGATATAAAGCCTATTTCTAATATCGAGAAAATATATGTTACTGGCATGAGTTTAATTTCTTCTCTAATTTTCGCTTATACTGTAAATACAATAGGCTCTGTTTTTTAAGATATTGTTTAATAAGAAGCTGGATATAAGTAAGAAAAATACGATATATCTATATATATGAGATAAAGATAAATAAATTCGAAATTATAAAATTAAGTTATGAGGTTTCTGGAACATATGAATTAAAAATAAGCTGAGGCTCCTTCCTGAAAAAGGACAGAGAATTTTGAAAAAAATCTCTAAAAAATTGAATGATGAAGTCTATAAGGATTTCTTTGGGAAAATAATTCTTAATTCTAAAATTTTTAAGTTTAATTTCTCAAATGAATTCCTTAATGAACTTGCTTCTTAAGTAAAAGAAGCACTTTATGGACCAGGAGAAGTCATTTTTAGTAAAGGTGAGAAAGATCATAAAATATTTTATGTAAATAAAGGATAAGTGGAATTATTTTTAGAAAAACATATAAAAATAAATGAAGGGAATAATAATAAATATACATTTGATATTATTAATGTTTTTTTTTTATTTAAATTTATATAATTTTTATTTTAAAAAAAAAAAAATATTAGAAAGGAGAATTATTTGGAGAACAAAATTTTTTTACTGATTAATCAAGAAATACTAACGCTAAAAGTTTAACAGTTTCACATTTAATATATTATACATAATAATATTTCTTACAAATATTAAAATAATATCCAAAAGACTATGTAAAATATATATATATATATATATATATATATATATATATATATATATATAATATTTATTATTATATTATCAGGAAAAATTTTGTTAAATTCGACATGAAGTATTATTTTATAAAGAAGAAATAAATATTAGATGCGCAGTTTGCAAAAAATTCCGACATTCTATAATAAATTGTCCATATATAAATTTAAATATGTACAAAGGAAATGTTATTCATAAAAACATACGTTCTTTTCCCAATGAAAGGAATGAAGGACTTTATTTTAGAGAAAAAATAAATAAATAAACTGTTTGTCATAAAAGGATAAAATAAGGAAAAAACTAATAAAAATAAGGGAATTTTATATCCAATTGAAATAAAATGGCAAAAATATTTCGGGATAATACAATATAAATATAATAGAGGAAAAATTCGAAATAAAAAATAAATAAAATTACAAAACTGATAAAAATTTCTTCCTAGAAACTCCCAAACTAATAATTTCTTCATAAAAGGAAATACTCATAGAAGAGGAAGAAGACGAAGAAATCTTACTTTCAGAAGAATACTAAGAAGAAGAGGAAGAAGACCAATAATACATGCTAGAATATGAAGAATCATAAGATGAGTAATAACATAGACACAAAACAACTTCATCTTCTTCAAGTAGTTCTTTATAATCTTCTAATTCTTAAGAATAATGTATAAAATAAAGTGATTAATAAATAAAAATCGAAGATTGTATAAAAATATAAAGCAGTCTGGCTAAAAAATAACATTTCTAGTTAGAATTAAAAGACTTAAAATATAAAAAATAAATATCAGAAAAAAACAATCAAAATTTAAACGAAATAAACTGTTTAGAATATTTACATAAATATTAATTAAAAAAAAATAAAGGTTATAGACAAAAATCGAATAGTTTTAGAATTTCATAGATTATTTCAATTGAAGGACAAGATGTATTATAAATTAAAAAAAAAAAAATATTAATAAAATAACCTCATTTTCAAGAAAAAATATATAGACAAAAAATATAGAATTTTTTAAAGATATTAATAATAAATAAAAATTTTTTGAAAATAATAAAATAAATAAAGTAAATTAATATATAAATATATATATATTTATATATATATATATAAATATATTATTTTTTTTTAATATATTATTTTTTGCATCTACTTTTTTTATAGTATTTAGTTTATTTATTTTATTTTTTTTTATATATAAAGTCTAAATAAAGTATATTTAATAATTTAAACTATACTAAAAATTAAATAGATAAAAACTTAGATAATAACTTATTAGAATTTAAATAATTTTTAAATTAAGAACAAAACTATTAAAGTTATCATATTTAATAGCCTTTAAAAACAATTTTAACAAATAATTTATTTAAATAAAAAATTATAAATTTATAATCTATTACAAATAATAATAATTATATAATAAATAAAAAACTTGTAAATAATTTATTAACATAAACATAATTGAAAATTGAAGAAAATATAAATAATATTTAATATCCTATAAATTAAGATAAAAATAATATATTAAATAATAACATTAATTATAATAATATTTTCTATAATGAATAATAAAATGACTTATATTTAAATTATTAATTCTTTTATTCTATTGTAGGTTTTGATAAAATAAAAGAATTTACAAATTATTTTCCTCATAATAATTACACAATAGTCTGTAAAGAAAAGAAAGTTATATATAATAGAAAAATGCTTTAGTAATCAAAAAAATAATTAGGTATTTCATTCAAAAATAGTATTTGTAAAAATCCTATAAGTGCAAATGATTTACAATCTTCTGTTCTCAATTATTTTAAAATGCTGAAAAATATTTTAACAAATAACTAAAGGATAAAAGAATAATTATAAATAATAAAATAATCTCTTATTAATAAATAGTTGATTAATATTGATGATAAAAATAAAATTAAAAGATTATAAACTAAAATTTCAGATTAATGAGATATTTTTATATTTTATATAAAAATAATATTTATTATTACTATTTTTTGTTTGTGTGATATATATATATTATAATATATATTTAAACAAAATATAATTAAAAAATAAATTCTTAATAATATAAAAAATGGATATTTAAGAATTAAATACTATCAAAATATAAAATTGGAATGATCAATAATAATATTTAAAAGAAGAATATTCTTTGGTATTTTCAGGTTTTATAATAAAAAAAACTAAAATATTAAAAGAAATTCATTAAATAAATCATTTTATTATATTAAAGAAAGTAATTAATAAGCAAAACTTTAAGAAGAAGTTCAAAATCTTCATTAAATTTATTACAAAAATTATATTACATATATTGATTTAAAAGATTAATTAGTAAAATAAATTCTATATAAATTATAATAAAGATTTTTTTTTTAAATAAAATAAAAAAAAAGCAATAAATTACAAATATTAAATCTTCGAAAAAATACTTTCATATAAGCAATAGTTAATTGTTAAAAGACAGTGAGTCTTTTGTAAGAAACATAATATTTAATATATCTTAGAACCAAGAATTTTGTGCAAATTTAATATTGAAAGAAGGAAAAGATTCATATTAAGATTAAAAAATAGAAAATTTATTAAAAACAATTTTAAATACATTTTTTTATGAGTTTTTAGATGAAAATAAATTAAATTAAAAGGTTCTAAAATTCATTTCAGTTTTTATAAAGGTATAAGATTTTTATATTAAATTATGTATATATATATATATATATATATATATATATATATTTATTTATTATTATATATATATATATATCAATTTTAAATAATTGCTTTTAATTCTTTTTATTATTAAGCTTTTTTCTACAATATTAAAAAAAATAAAAATTATAATCTCAAAATCATTATATATATATATTATTATAAAAAAAAGTCATATATAGAACAAGCTTCAAATATTAATGATATAAAGTTTTTAGATTCTAAAATATTAAAAAAAGTTCTTGAGATTTTTTTTTAAAAAGATGAATTTTAAAATTATATAAAAGAAATATTTAATAATCCTTTATTAGCTATATACAAATTTCGATAAATAAATATTAATTAAGATGAGTAAATAAAAAGTATAAATTAATATTTTAAAAAATAAAAAAGTATCAAATACAAAAACCAAAGATCAAAAACAAGTAATGCTTTAGAAATAAGAAACTTTAAAAAAGAAAATTCTTTATTTTCATATTTGTAACAAGAAAATATAGAAGAATAAACCGCCTATATATTCCCAAAATATCTCATATACGAAGAATACTTAAGAAAATTTGATTTAAAGGAACCCAAAAAACTGGAAAATATAATAAGTAGGAACTTAGATAAAATAATAACAAAAAGCAAGCAACTACAAGTCGAAAAAGACTAATAACAAAACGAGAAGAAATTTATTTTTCAAAGTGAAGATTAATAAATAGAAAACATATATTAATAAAATATGGAAAAGCTAAAAAATATAATTAATTTAATTATAGATAATATCACAAAAAACGAGAAAAATATTCCTATATAAATCCGTATTATATGCAAAATAATCGAATTAAACTTGAAAGAAAAATTTTAAGAAATAACAAAAAAAAAAATCTAATAAATTATATGTCAATTCTTATTCGAGTTTTTATTTATTCCAGCTTTGAATTTTTCCGATAATTTCAAACAAGAAAATATGCTTAGCGAAATAAACGAAAAAAATTTAAATTTAATAAAATAAGTACTTGAAAAAATATACTTAGATGAATAGAATTAAAGGTTTAATTAGATAATAAAGGATAATTAAGATATTCTAAATATTTATTTAGATTAAATTTTGTAAGGAATTTCTGCCCAGGATATATTCTAAAACGAAAATTAGGATATTTCTATTTCTTGTATTTTTATTAGTCTTGAAAATATTTAAGTTATATGTAATTTAATTCAAAATAATAAAGAATTTTGTAATTAAAATATTAAAAATATCACTAAATTTGCCCAAAATGTATTTATATGTAATGAAGACTAGAAAATATTTGAAAGAAGAAAAGATTTATTTGATGAAAAAAAAGACGAAGAAGTCAAAAATTCTTAATTTTTTACTACTTTCTTTTAATTTTAAACAAGTCCGGAATATGAGACTAATTATTAAACTTAATATTAATAATAATATGCTATTAAAGAAAATATTCCTGAAGAAGAACAAGTAAATTTTTTATCATATTGAAAAAAATAAAAATATATATAAACATTTAAAAGATAATATTAAAAACTAAAAATACTTTATTATAAATACTAATATATATAGAATAAATAAATGATATTTAAAATTTTCTTGGATAAAAAAACCTTTAAATATAAGAAATACTAAAATTAATAAGAAACGTAATATATATATATATATATATATATATATATATATATATATATATATATATATATATATATATATATATATACATATACATATAAATACAATATTATAAATATAAAGGAGAATTACACTTTTAATTTAAAACATACAAATTATTTTGATTCTATTCCTATATCTTTAAAGGCTGAATATTTATAAAATACTATGTCAAAACTTCCCGAAAAATACATTTAAAATAATTTTGAGATTCTTTTATAAGAACTAAGCGACGATTTTTCCTTAAGATTTACCAAATTTAAATCACTAAGTAATAATTTTAAATAGAAACTACTAAATGCTAGATAAGTAATAAATATAAAAAGTAAAGATCTGAAAGAATTAACCGAAAGAATTAATAAAGAAATCATAATTAAAATTTTATAAGAAACAATAAACACACTATAATTGAGTTACTGTATAACTTCATCAACTACACGAACTGGAACTAGAAAAAAGCTTTAAAACAATCAAGTAATGTGTGAAAATGAGGAAGAAAAACAAATCCAAATAGTATCTATAAACGATTGTGTACATAATCAGAAAAATCTTGAATTTTTTTTATCCTTAACTTAAGGAGGATTAGATATAAGTTAATAGAAAAAACAAGAAAGTGTTGATAAAAATTTCCATTGTGAAAATTTAAATGGTTTTGTGGAAATATTTTGCAATTTACCAGAAGTAAAATAATGTATTTTTTATGGAAAAGATAACTTTGGAATTAATAAGAAGTTTTTTAAATTTTTTGATGAAGTTTTTGATATTATTATTTAGACTTTAAAATAAAAAAGATTAACTAATTATATTAATAATAATTTAAAATAAATAAAAGATACTTTTGAAAAAATATTACTTAGAAAAATATACTAAAAGTTTAATTTACTTAAATTTTTTTTTTTTTATATAAAAAATAAAAGAATATATCCTAAAGAAAAAACTTATTAAGATTTAGCCTTTTTTTGTAGAATAAAAACTCTAGAATGGATTAATTATGATCATTTAGATATTGATAAAACTAATAGAGTTGATGAAGTTTTAGATTTAGCAGCTAAATGTAGTTAATAAAAATTGTATATTTATATATATATATTATATAATTTTTTTTTATCAATGTAAAGCTTTAAACTAAATTGATTATGCTTATAGTCCTTTGGAAAAATTAAATTGTATAATCGATTATATTAATATGATTGAAAGTTTAATAAAAATAACATAGAATAATTAAAATGATATTCAAAAAATATTATATATTTATGTTTTATTAAAAGCATCTCCTTAAAGAATGTATTCTAATATAAAGTAAAACATATATATATATATATATATATATATATAAATATTATTTATATGTTTATATTAATTTTATTTTAAAAAAAGTTTTTTAGAATTATTTCTAAAATAAGAAACTAAAATTAATTAGGCTGGATTAAGTCTCGTAAAATTAAAATTAGTTATTGATTTTATAGAAAATATATAACCTTAATAATTATTGAAAGTTTAATAAACTGAATTTCATATGTATTGTTTATTATAAATTATATATAAATTAATAATAAAAAAAAGGAATATATAGAAAAAAGAAATAGAATATGAAATATAATTTCTAAAAAAAAGAAAAAGAAATAACTTTTTAAAAATAAATAAATAAAAAATTAAGAGCATACTATAAAATTAATCTTGAAAAAAAAAAAATATATATATATTTATATATTATATATATATAAATATATATATATTATTATATATATTTATTTATTTATATATATTTTAAGATATTTATATAATTTTATTTTAATTATATATTAATTTTATTTCCACATTAATTAATATTATTTTCATTTCAAAGTTAGTATTTTTTGTTATTAGAATGATAAGAATTTTTTTTATTATAAATTAAGAGGTTATAAAAAAAAATAGCATTGTATTTATTACTTTTTATTTTTCTAAACTTTTTTTATATTTAATCTTTAAATAACTTAATCAAATAAAAAAATGTAATAATTTCTTAAAAATTTTTTTCTTTTTTTGTAATTGTTATTATTAATTATATATATTTTATTAAAATATTATTTAATTATTATTTGTTTAATTTAGATAAAATATAAACAATCATAAATTCTATTAAAAAATATATAATATAATATAATATAATATATATTATAAAAAGAATATATTAAATTATAAAGAAAAAATTTAATAATCAAATATATAATTATATATACAAATAAAAAAATCATTTAATTGGACATGATTAAGCCTTTTTTGTAAAATTTTATTATTTTTCAAAAAAAACATATTTTAAAGATTAAGGAATAACACTGATTTTCAATTAGCTTTTTTCACTAAAATTTTCTTATTAAATTCCTTAATTTTAATTATTATATGAACCATCATTTTTAATAAAGTCATCCGATTTATTATTATCTATATTTTAATTATAAATTCTTTCTAAATTATTAGACTAATTTATTCTTAAAGAATTAAATAAATTCATATTAACTAAAAAAACTGATGATTTATTTTCATTTTATGGTTAAGGTAAAGCCACAATAGGAATTTAAACTTCTTATTATTAGTCTTATTTTATATTTAATAATCTATTAAATTTCGGGCAAATAATTTTACTAAATAGATAACAAAAATTCGGTTCTGTAAGTAAATAAAGCCATACAAATGCCAAAAGCCCAGCGAGTATTTTCGAGTTTAAGATTTATTGAAATTTTTTGAATTAAAAAAGACTAATTTAATCCAAACAATTATTATTTATTTAAAACTAGACAAAATTTTACATTTGGAAATTATTTTTTGCATAAATACTAACAATAATATTCGAGGTAAAAATAAGGAGAAATTTTACAATATAAAAAGCTTTAATTTTATTTTTAGTCTATTCTTTAAAAATAATAAATCCCCACCAAATATTTTCATTTTTTTTTTCGATATTTTTCTAATATTTTTTTTTCTTTTTAATTATAATAAAGCCAATCCAAGTTTCAAAAAAAATCAAAATTCCTCCCAAAAAAACACAATTTCCCATTAAAATCTTACTATAAAATTTACATATATCCATTTAATTTTTTTACTTAAAAAATTCTTCTATTTAATGTCTACATTATTTTTTTATATATACATATGATCTTTAATATAATTTATATTTTTCTTCTTTATTAAAACTAAACTAAAATATCTATAATAACTATTTAGATAAATCATTAGCCTCAAAAAAATCTTTTTCTGAAAAAAATAAACCTGTTTCTCTAAATCTACTGTCTATTTCTTTACATTCTTCCCTCGGATCAAGCAAATATTTCTTTTAATAATCTACATTAGGCTTTACATTATTAAAACATACTCCTTTTCCACCTGAAACTCTAAATTCGCTTAATGGAAGTACTCCTTATTTCAAAAAAGATACATAAATCGAAAAATCAGAACCTGGAATTTTCATATACATATTATAATTAGTCTCATCAGGATTCTATTTTGAAAATAAAATATCTCTAAAAGGACATTCTTCATTTTATGGAACACAAAAAAAAAAATCCTCATTTTATTCTTCTGAAAAACATTATTTTTAATTATTAACACATTAATGATTTTATCTAAAGTTGGCATTAGATATTCTTTTTAGACATATTTATTATCGTAAAGGGCTTTTTTTTAATTTTTAAGGAGAAATACCATTAATTTATTGGCCATTACAGCAATCATTTAATATAGTTTTTAATGAACAGCATTCTTTCTCGTCTATTTAATTATTTTGATAGCATCTACACCCATTTAATATACCTTAAAAACTAAATATAATATATGTATTATATATATTTATATATATATAATATTTATATATATATATTATTTTATATAAATAATATAACAATATATTTATATTTATTTATATTTTTAATTATTTATTTTTATTTTTATTAATATATATATAATTATTATTATTTTCCCCTTTTTTTTACTTATATTAAAATAATTAATCTTATTCTTATTTACAAGATTATTAATTTTCAATTAAATAAAAACCGTTTATTGGGTCTTATATCCAGTTTTGGAGTGTTTAATCATATTATTAATATTTATCAAGGAATTATAAATATATTAGAATACTTATAATTATTATTAGAGAACCTATTATAAATGAAGAACATGAATATATTAATG